GAAGGGGGGGATGGATGGATGGATGGTCCGAAGGTTAGCTGACCTGCTGGACGATGACTTACATACACATGAGGACATTGGACATGAGACGCTATCTATGGTGGTAGTCTCTTCCACGACCGATTGGCTCAATCAAGCTCAATCAATGTGTGTACGTATTGACCGATCACCATACATACGAACACACTCGCACCACAAGCTGCGCGTTGGCTCGGCTTCACACGTCCATGTGTACGGATGGATAGGTATACACGTTCTGTGATCGCGCATGTCGGCCATCCATCTCAGTGTCGTCTCGTTGGGAAAACGGCTGGCCAGATGCAAGGACCAGCGGTTCCACCAACGGGCGGACACGGAGACAGAGCACGCGACACGCCCACACCCAGCAGCAATGCCAAACCAGGTCTGTCTGTCTGTCTGTCTCTCCCTAACCATCTACAACTACCCTTTCTTCCTCTAATTAGTCAGTCAGTCGCTATTCGAGTCCTCGTCATCCTCCTGCCACTCCGCATCGCTGCCCTCGTCGTCGTCACCTCGACTGCGTTTCTTGCCGCCACCCTTCTTCCCACGCTTCTGCCGCCGCGCCCGTGGCTGCTGCTGTTGCTGCTGCTGGTGCTGGGAGGACGCCTGCATCTGCTGCAGCTGCTGCATGTGCTGCTGCTGGGCGGCCTGTTGCTGCAGCTGGGACATGGCGAGGAAGCTGCTGATGAGCTGGGGGTTGCCCTGCCTCATCTGCTGCAAGACGGCCGCCTGTGACAGATTGAGGGGCGTGTTGCCCAGCGAACTGAAGGGCGACGGGCCGGTGGCGGGGCCACGCATGACAGGGGCGGGGAACTGCATGGGGGGGAGGGTGGGCGACGGACGACCACCCCCACCCACCATCTGCTGGCTGGTGCGAGAGGGCGGCCGGCCCACGGCGGCGGCCTGGCGGAAGTCCGGCTCGCTCGGCGACCGCACCGCAAAGACCTCCACCTCTTGCAGCTTGAACCGGAGCCCACCGGCGAGGTGGGGCGAGCGTGTCTGTTGTTCTTTGGGTAGGCGGTATGAGTGCCCCACTGAGCAGTATGAGAGGTCTCTCAGGTCGCCCTTGTCGGCCAGGAAGAGGTCGTGGCCGCTGCCGAACGTGGGCAGGGAGTCGGGTCGGTGGCAGACGCCCGTGAACTGATGATGGTCAGTCAGAACAGAACAGACAGCAGACAGGCTGGATCAACGATAGCGGTTCATCCTGACTGTTCGCTCCTGTGTGTCCCTCCCTACCTGGTTGAGGGCGAGGACACGGCATTGCACGGGCTCCCACGTGACGGGCTTGTCCTTGTCAGTTTTGCCCGAGCTGCTGCGCCCGCCGTCATCCCCATCTCTGTCTTTGTCGGTGTCGTCCTCATCCTCCTCATCCTCCTGCTGCTGGTGCTGGTGCTGCTGCTGTTGTGGGGATGTGTGTGTGTCGGTGTGTGGAGGGGTGAGGGGGGAGAGGGCGAATAGCCAGCTGTGCAGGGTGTTCTCGAACTTGCCGGTGCTCTTCCAATCGCGAGTGCTGTACCCTCCAAACACGTGACTGCATGGCATGATAGACACACAACACAAAATACAGACATAGCGAATGCGCTATGCAGGCACAAAGTCCATCCGTGTGCGAGTGTGTCGGTCCCTCCCTCTCTCCCTCCCTGCCTCACCCCTTGTCCGAGAGGGCCACAGTGAGTGTGTGTCCCTGTCCGTCACAGATGCGATGGAACTGCCGGCAGTCGAACGAGTCCCTGGTCCCTCTGTACAGGAGCCTCATGCGGTTGGCCTTCTCACCGCCGCCCTGAGGCTCTTCCTGCGGCCGCCTCTCGTACGGATTGCTCACGCGCCGGTTGCCCTCGTGGTCCAGCTCCGTCTTGGCCCTCGCCTCGGTCACCCACTGCTGTAGCAGATCTCGCTCCGACTGCGGCACCATGTCGAGGATCAGGGACGAGTCGATGAACGGCACGGGGCTGCGCGGGGACGGCGCCGCCTTCTTCGAGCGGGTGATGACGTTGTCGTCGTCATCACGCCTGCGCTTGAGGGCGTCTGCGGGATGAGCATCGCCTCCGTTGACGGCTGGGGCGTTCATGACCCTTTCGAACTCATTCTGGGGCGACGACATCCCGTCGCCACGCTAGTTGTTGTTGTTGTCGCCACGTGTGCAACACCTACTGGGGAAGAGGGAGGAAGGGAGAAAGAGGGGGTGGGGGAAACAAGTTCTAAGCTCGCAGAGACGAGGCGAAAGGTGAGCAGGGGAGATCAGTGATATCAGGGTGCTTGTCACGTGCGACGGTGTGCTTGAGGCTGGCAAGGAGGAAGCAGATCGGAAAATGATGGATTCGTCATCGCCTGGGAGACCGCAGGTCTCTCCGTGGAGATCTGCGCTCGTGGTGGTGAGCGGAGAGAGAGAGGAGGGCAGTGGAACTGATGTGGGGATGCGGGACGGTCCCGCTGCCTGCCTGTGGGTGGATGATTCATTCACTCATCGCCTGCACCTGTGTTTGCGCTGTATGGCGGCATCTGTGCGTCTGCACTGTTCTGCAGGGCGTTGGAGCACTGCTGCACCTTTGCTGGTTCTCGTCAGCAACAGAACGACACACCATGCCTTCACCACGGGTGCGCAGAACGACTTGTTATAGATCCATCCTCTCTCATGTTTCTCACTGCTTGCTTTCCGACAGGCCTTGATGAGAAGACTGAGCTCCTCACCATCACCACAGCCACACAGGTCTTCACTGCATCGCTCACGTAGTTTGGAGGGCCTGTTGGCCGCTGGGCTGGCTGACGTCGATAGCCCTGGACCATCAGAGCCACCAAAGGGCGTCGCGGACTTCGCCCTGCAATGTGACAGGTCCGTCATCACGAGCACCAAAGGCCATCCTTCGGTACCCAGCAGTGTGTGTGTGTGTGTGTGTGTGTAGGACTGCGTCCAAGCTGCTGAGTGACAGTGCTGGAGAGATCGATGAGATGCGCAAGACGGTGGACAAGGGAGGGGTCGTCAGCGGCCTGGGCGACAAGGCCGACACCATGGTGGCCAGCGCCGTCGCCAAGCTGAGGAGCGAGCTGCCGAGCGGCGCTCCCAAACAGAAGGCCACACTCATGGACAAAAAGGTGAGTGAGAGGCGTACCGCACCCGGCTGAGCAGAGCGAACCACCCCGTGGTGGCATCTTCCTCTCTGTGTGTCTAGGTTGAGGAGCTTGAGAGGATGCTGGATGCATCGCTTCATGTGGTGTTCCTCAAACAGGTCGGTGTACACATGGCATGGTGAAGGTATGTGTTGTCGTCATCTTGGCTTGTTGCCCCTCTGCTGTGGTCGTTGTCAGCTCCGCATATTGCGCGACAAGGCTCTGCAGAAGTACAAGAGTGCCATGCGGTGAGTGAGTGAGTGAGTCAGTGAGTGACAGACGCTGACGTACACTTGCACAGTGATGGGCGTGGATTACCTGCCTGCCTGCCTGCCTGGTGTGTGTGGTGTGTGCAGTGCTGACGGCACCAAGGACTACGATGCGGTGGTGACGGCACAGAGCTTCTTCAACACCGAAGCAGAGGCAGCCAGGAGGAAGGTATGCACAAAGGCACACCGCACTACACCACACCTCACACGCACACATCTTCACATGTGACGGACGTGCTTCTTTTGATTGATAATTCATGCGTTCAGAACAGCAATTGGGAGTACGGCAGTGAGGCGGCAGAGCTCAAAGACATCCTCGATGAGCTCGCCAAGGGATCCAGGAAAGTCGTCGAGACACAATCCAAATTCGCCGAACAAATGGTATACACACACACCCACGTATACACGTGCACACCGAGACGACTGTGTGTGTGCGTGTGTGTGTGTGTGTATGACGGTGCAGCGTGGATTGGCGCAGATCTTGCAGCAGCAGGATCAGCAGCTGCGTGCCATCCAACAGCAGTTCGCCATGGGTGCGGGAGGCAGCCCATGGAACGTCGGGTGAGCAGATCCACTCACTGACTGACACCAACCACCACACCATGTATCCCTCCCTGTTCACATGGCATGCCATGCGTGCAGGTTGGCGTATCGGATCCCCGACACGAACATCAATCTGTCGGGTCGGTACGAGCAGGGCCGCACCCAGATCCAGATGTCCTGTGTGCCCGACGACTCGGCGCCCATGCTGGGGCCACAAGGGTTCGTCAACGGGGTCGGCCCGGGCAACCTCGGCATATCTGTCAACCTCAACATATGACTGACCTTCGACGGCATGACGCCGCGTGTGGGTAAATAACGGGATGTGTCATTCATTGGCATGGCTGCAACCATGTCATGTCTGACATGTGAGTGAGAAGGAGGGGGGGAGAGACGTCACGTCAGTGATTATGCAGATGGTCGGTATGTAGGTCATATTTTTGTCACGTGGAGAGAGGAGAGGAGAGGGGGGGTGAGATGGACCGTTTTAAGAATTGACTGAATGATGAATGATGGTCACACTGCAGTGGCGACTCTCCACACACACTCATGCATTCCACACGCTTTCGAAGCGATGCCAATTAAATCCTTTCGATAAGGTCTGTGTTCATATCACTCGAAGCTGGCTGGTCATGAGCAACAAATAGGCCATCCCGTCCCTCTGTCTGTCTGCGTGTCTGTCTCGGGCAAATCACACACCATACAGACAGAGAGGACACACATCATAGACTCCAGGCACACACGTCGGTCGGGTCGGTGGCGAGGGCCATGGGCCTATTCACCCACTGAACATCACATACAGTACACAGCCCCCGTTTACTCACATACGTACGTATAAGCTCGTTGGATGCTCACTTTGCATGTAGACTTCTCGATCTGACGTCTCTCGATCTGATGTTCCTCGTTACCATGTTTTGGCGGTACTCGATGGTGGATGCGGAGAGATAGAAGGAAATATGCCATGTATATATAATGTAGGCAACGATTTTGAGATCTGACACCGACACACAGCATTCGTTTTTTGAATCCATCTGCGTGTCTGCTCGCAAGATGGATTCAACTGTCATTGCAGGTACCTGTCTCTCAGTGAGGGTCAGTGAGGGCCGATGTCGTCGGTATCTACCTACCCACGACTGGCATGGATCTATACGCACGGGCAGCAGTCGAATTCGCCGTGTGAATATCATCTCATGGCCGCCATGCCTTCGTCTGCCGGATGTCAAAAGAGAAACATCAAGAGCGCTTCGCTAGGATGTCTTGGTAGCCCCTCATCCTTACCAGTACACAATTGATGTTGTGTAGGTAGAGTAGGTCTCTGGTGGATTTCTTCAGCCGCTGTTGTTGAAATTGATCGCAGAGGAGCTCTGCATCCATCCACTGGTATAGTGTCCACGTCATTCGGTTGAACATGTCTTCGTCGAAACCCAGCTTCTTCTCTCTTTTCGCCTCCTCTTCCTCCCATCGGTTGACCAGCACGCAGTCGATATTCCGTAGTGGTATTCGCGCGTCATGTTCGTTGTGCCGGGCTCCGGCCGCGTCACCAGCTGCTTGATGCGCTCGACCTCTGCGTATTCCCGCTGTTCCGTCAGCAGGTTCATTACTGCATGCAAGAGACATATACATACAGATGATAAGAGAATACGAATGTTTCGGATGTCGCTTTGTGTGCATGTGGGTATACACATTCGTACCTCTCTGGAGTCGTCGGAAATTTCTCATCTGCGCTTTCTCGGTTGAGTGGTGACGGAGCCCGTGACTTCACACACGAACACACACACACCACACACACACACACACAAAACAAGAGTGAACATCCCGTGTGTGTCGCGGTGTGCCGTTTGTGAATTCGACCTGCTCACCACTTTCGATGCAGGTAATCAACTTCTGTGCTGCTTGTGGTGTGGGCAAACTTGACAGAATCCGCCTCCGGCCACCATTCGTTCCCGAGCCATCCTGGTAGGTGAAGCCTTCGTGCGAAGTTGGGATGAGACATGTCATGTCTTCTACAGCTCCTCGAGGCCGTCTGCACCGATGCGAACTTCGCTGCAGTGGCAAATAAAACGACAGCATGCGGTAGAGTAAGTGCGGCGTGTCGGTGGGACTCCCTTCAGCTTCCTTCAGCTTACTATTTGCCATCGATGAGCACGGTGAAGGCAATAGGTCTGAAATGATTGTCCTCAGTCCGCTTCTACCTCTTTGCCGTCGACTAGCGGGACAATGTCATTCACCACATCGGAGCGGATTTGCTTGTGGATGGCCGTGATTAGGTCCATGGTGCAGCCCGTTCTCTCGCGGTAATACACAACGTAATACACATCGGTGGAGCCTTGAGCTTCTTGGACCGCGTCGTCCTCACGAGCTGCTCGCGCGTCACGATCGGGCTGACCTTGCTCGTGTGGCGAGAAAGTGTGGCCACACCCTGAATGTCAAAAAACCGTGTCAAGCATGAATGGTGTACTCATCTGACTCACCTTATCCGTGAGCGAATCCAACGCCCTCCTGGCAGATGCACGTTTCGCCCCCTTCACGCTCCCCTCTCCCACCTTCACGCCGCTTCTTCCCTGTCGGTGTCGCGGCAGAGAACGTGAGGCCAAGTGGCAGGAACGTGAGGTTTTCGCGCTCGGCAGGAGATCCCTCTCCCCAGCGGCAAGGCTTCGCCTTCTCTCAGATTGTGAACAGCTCACCTGAACAAAGGCCTCCGTGATGCTCGTCTGCACACAGGCAAAAGTGTCATAGACGCTATTCGAGTAAGAGTGACTTACACAGAATTGCACTCCGTGCTTGTCGGCCACCATTCTCTCCTTCAGACGCAGCAGTCTCTGGATCAAAGTGCGCTTTTCCTGGTTGGCAGACACGTCCACCTTGACCAGCATCAGGCAGACGCCGGGCACTCGCCTCCACGTGAGAGTCCCCTCGGGAAACTTCTTCTTTGGTCGCGCTCTTGCTTGGGAAAACAACAGCAGACGGCGTGGACGGGGCTAATCAGGGGGCGACGTGTAGAATGAATTTTCTACCTTGTTCTGGACAAGTCTCAAAAGGCCGTCTCCCACGAAAATTCTCGACGGTACTGTGAGAGACTTAAAGCGTACATATTTGTGGAGCCGCATGTTTGAATCCCTGTCTATCCGTAGGGTCACGTGTCCATCCTGTCATTCCACATCGCGATTGATGGAAAATTCGCATCTCGCCACGCTCGACACGTCGCTCGACTACACACAGTCCAAGGCAGCAGCTACTGTACAGATAAGGAAAACAGAGCCCCCAGTGTAGTAAGTAAGTCGACAGACACATACAAACAAGCGAGAAAAATCCACTCACTCTCTCTCCCCACCCCCAACACAGGCACGATGGAAGCACGTCTCACTTCCCCGCCTCTCTGCCTCTAAGGCTGCCACTCCGCGCCAGCGGCCAGCACCCGACTGCCCCGACCCCTCCTCGATCACCCTCAAGCGATGCCAGCTGGGGCGAGGGCGAGCGCGACGACGTACTGTTCTTGGCCTTCCTGTTGTGGTTCACACCCAGACGGCTCATCGACTGAAATGACAGGAAGGGCGAGAGCGCACGGCGGGCGGCGGGGGGCTGAGCAGCGGCGGCATCGACATCAATTGCCGACTGTGCTGAGTGGAGGAGGGAGGGGTCTGACGCGATGGCCTCGGGCAGGGAGGATGACCTGACGGTCTCCTTCTCTCGCTTGGTGGGGGGTTTGTTGCTGCCGTTGTCCCCCTCTGCCTTGGCGATGTCGTGCAGCTCTGACAGGGTGACGCACTCGAACTTGGCCGTCAGCTGCGGAACCACCTGCTTCAGCACCCACAGGTTCTCGGCTCTGAACGTGGCCGAGGGGAAATGGAGGATGACAATCGAGCCCGGCTTGGCGTGGTCGTGGACGAAGTCACGCAAAAAGGTGGGATGCTCCTGCAGGTTAACGTCCAGGGGATAGACGTCGCCCTGTCCACACAAACAAACAGATGCACACCAACACACATGAGAGGGTGGGTATGTTCGCCTCCCCTCCCCCCCTGCCTCCGTCGCTCACCAGTGCCGATGTGTATCTGTGTTTGGCGAGCACTCGATGCATGACCTCGCTGGCCAGTCCCATTGGCGGCCGATACCACTTGAGCTGCCTCTCCTTGAAGTCAGGCACGAACTGATTCAGCACCGACTCGCACTGCAGCAGCAGCCTCTCGAACGTCGCCTCGTCCAAACGATGAGCAGGCTTGTCGTGCGTCATATGATTGGCCAGCTCATGACCGTCCTCAACCATCCGCCTCACGACCGACTCCTGCCCGTCCACATCTGCACACACAGACACACACACACACACACAGAGCGCACAATGGGCGCATCGCATCAAGGCATGCATGGCCGGCCGGTGTTGCCTCGCGTACGAGATGAGATGATGAAGAACGTGGCCTTCACACCGTTGTCCTTCAGACAGTCGAGCAGCTGGAAGCTCACCGACTCATCACTGCCTGGCGCATCCTGAACAGCACACCCAACACGCCACACACACCAGCCACTCCACTCACACACATGCCGCCTCCCCTCTGCATGGCTCACATACATCGATGGTGAGTGCAATGACGGGCTTCTGGATGTCAAAGTAGAAGACACACTTGCTCTGCGGCAGGAAGGGCAGGTACGCCGACGCTGCCAGCGCCCATCGTGATCCCCAAGTGTGGAGGCTCCTCCATGCCCTGCACGCACACGCAAATCACAGAGCATTCGAAAAGCAAGAAACGCCACTTCTTGAGTGTATGCGGATTTATCACCACTTGGTGATGTGGCTGCGGGATGGGAGAAGGGACGGCAGCGCACCGCCACTCGCCTTGGATGACATCCGCGGGAACCTCCTGAGGGCAAACGAGAGAGGCGGATGTGTGGTGTGAAGGTGTAACACCCGGGTGGGAAGGTGCTTCGCAGGAACAGGCAGCAGCAAGGGCAGCAGGAGGCCAGTCAAGGTCAACAGGAAGCGCACACTCTTTCTCGCACTTCTCGCATTACCCACCAACATCACAATCCTGCAAATCGTTCGCCACCATCTTTTGCGGACAAATTTACCCTTAAACCACCCCCTTTGCTGGCCCTAAGCTCGCATAGACGAGACCTCGCGTCTTTCTGGAGGCCTCAGTGCCTTGTGAGGTTGGTTGAGTGTGCGTGAGCCGTCCATGGCGATTGAGAAGCCCTCTGCGGCGACGCTGGCCCTCGCCGGTGCCGCCGGAGCCGCAGGGGTGGCTTGTGGGTTGGTGGCGTGGCGCACTCTGGCCCGAGAGAGGAGGAGGCGACAGCTGATGCGCCAATGTGACCTGCCCGCGGCACTGGGAGGTACGCAGACAGACGGGGGAGGGAAGGGTGGCAGTGATGGATGGCTGTGACAAGGCTCTGACGGACGACGTGATGATGTGCTCCTCTCCTCCCTTTTGTTCTTCAGAGTGGGCTATCGTCACGGGTGCGTCGGCTGGTCTTGGGAGGCAATTGGCGCTGCAACTGAGTCTGCAGTGAGCAAAGCAATGGAGGGAGGGATGCTCGAAGGCAATCAACAGCCGGCTGTTCATCTCGTGTGTCATGTTCGTGTGTGATCCGATTCAGTCATGGGTTCAAAGTGATAGCTGTTGCGAGGAGACTGCAGCGGCTGCAGACTCTCCGGGTGCGTACCCTGGGCGGCAGGGAGGGGACACGATACGTACAGGAAGAAAAGACACGAATGTGTGTATTGTTGTGTGTGTGCAGGGCGAGATAACAGCGTCTGGTGGTGTGTGTGAGGTGTACAGTGCCGATTTGAGCCACATTAGGGAGATCGAGGGGCTGCTGCACTTCATCAGCAGGACGGTCCCCTCCTATGAGTCTGTCGGTGAGTGCCGTGGGCAGCCAACAAACGCACTCATACACACACACACACACACACATGCCCCTGTCTGTCTGTGTGTGTGTGTGTGTGTGTGTGCCAGGATTGCTCGTCAACAATGCTGCCGGTGCATCGTTGGGTCTGTTCGCATCCACATCACCCGCCAAGCACCTGACGATCGCCAGGATCGGCGTGGAGGCCGTGCTGTGCCTCACACACAGCATACTCACTCGCATGATGGACCAGGAAAAGGGTACGTACGCTCACACACAGGCGGCCCCCAAACACGGTGTAGGGTATGGTGTGGTGTTGCTGTTTGTTGGTGTGTTGCAGGTGCCATAGTGTTTATCGGTTCGAACGCTGCGAATTTGCCGACGCCTCTCATGAGCACCGCGTGTGGCACCAAGATGTTCATGAGGGGGTACGCACATACCGCAAAACTCTCAGGTTTCCGTGCATGGATGTATAAATTGTGTGTGTTGCAGTTTTGTGTCATCGCTGCGTTCTGAGCTGCAGTACATCTGTGAGTCGCCCGTGCAGATCATGCTCGTCGAACCCTCATGTCAGGCAGCAAGGGAGGGAGGGATGGAGGGAAGGAACCACGAGAGAGCCGACAGCAACATAAACATATGTACAAAATGTATGGATGCAGCCATTTTGACTGACGGCTGGGAGCAGTTCGGCCTCAACCAGCACATACAGGTAGAAACCCAGACAGGCCACATGAGAGATCGGTCTCGTAATCTTCATCTTGTGTGTCTTATTCGTCGATTTATCGATCAGTCTGAGGTGGACCCGTCGGCCATGACGTGTCTGGAGGCGGCCACATCCGTACTCAAAGCTATCGAGGAATACGCTGCCGGTAAGCCCCCTGCAACAACCTGAGAACTCGAGCGTCACACATTCATGCCTGCGTGCCTGGATTTGCTCATTCAGGTGTGGCCCCTTCCCTGCCTCCGCTGTTGTCTCTGGGCATGATGTCATGGCTGCCCGGTCTGCTCAACCGCTGGCTGCCCCTGACATACCAGATCCCACTCGCCGCCAACTCAGCCGTCAGGATGATCCACATCATGGCCGATGCGGCGGCCAAGACCGGCGTTCAGATGGCCGGTGCCGCTGGTGGTGCGGGCGGCCCCCACGACACAGATGGGGGCGACGACATGATGAGCGACGCGAGCGACGAGCAGCAGCGGCAACCCCATGACAGCGGGTCGATGGCCGGGGGTCAGGAAGAGGGCGAGCAGGTCATGTGGGGCCAGTATGAGATACCCCACCTGTCCAGCTGGGACCAGAGCAGGCTGGGGGTCAATGCTGCCTGACGTGACGCACATGAAAGGAAAGATGGATGCATGTAAATGTACATTGACTGCATGTATGCTGTCTGCGCGTGTGTTGTGTTGTGTGTGTTGAGGGGAGTTTCAATCAATTGTCGATCTCGGTGGCTGACTGGGGGTGGGGGTGAGAGAGGTGCTGGCTGTCTTGTCTTTTCTGTGTGACACTGTATATCTTTTTGGCGTTCAAGGCGCCGCCGTGTTGTTTGTTTTTTGACCTTCTGTCTGTCCGATGCTGTCTTGCATTTGGGTGCTGCCTTTTCCCCGAATTAGTCAGGATGCACGCATTGACGGAACACCGGGAACAGAGCAGAACAGAAGAATTGGCCTTTCTGATCGTTTCTGTCTCCCTCGGATGTGCTTCGTGTTGGGTGTTTGAGGTGAGGCTCCACACGGTGCCCTGGCTGCTCTGAGCTGAGCAGCCAGGGTCGCGTGTGGGGTTCTTTGTCGAACACCAAACACGATGGCTGCCGATGAGTGAGAGGTGAATAGAGAGAAGCGATGCCTGGTGCCCTTGGGGCGACATGGGCAGACAGACAGACAGACAGCCGCATGTGGCATGGAGGTAGCCGATGCTCTATTTTTTGTCCCCATGGATGCCCCCGTGGCATGGATACGCTGCATGACGGATCACACACACAGCACAAGCAGGAAAGGCCCAATTTTTCTCCATTTTTCTCCCTCCGTCCTATTGTGTTGACTGACTGGCTGGCTGGCTGACTGGGTGAATTTGGCGGCTTTCACTTGTCGGCTGCATGGGTGTACAGGTAAGCGAGACAGACAAGAGGAGACAGAGTGCAGTCAAGCCAGTCAATCTAGCCGCATGGATGGCTCAAAAACAATGGCAGTGCCTTCGCGACCCACTCAGCCCCATTTTTCTCCCTTTGCCCCGTGCACCTCTCTCTTTGTCTGCATGACTGTCTGACTCCCGTCTCCTCCCCTCTCTCGTCTAGCAGTGATGCAAGAACAGCCACACATGACTTGTTTCTCCCTCTGGGACGCATCATGTGTGTATGTGGGGCGCATGGCGGGCCGTTTAAACAAAAGACAAGACAATGACCGTATGTATGGCCCCACCCCCCCCCTCCCCCCTCAATGTTTCTTTTTGTACTTTCTAGTCCCCTCGATCCATTCCCGCAGCCAGGCCAGCTTGTGGATAAGTAAGTAGTCACATTCACTCGCCTCTGGCTGCGTGTGTATGCGTGTGTGCGTGTGTGAGCGCTATGTAACACTAAGACGTGGCTGTCTGACTGTATGCCTTCCCTCCCTCCCCTCCCCATCTGTCTGTGTATCGCGCGAGAGGGGCCGGCCATTTTGGAGGGATGGTGGGTGGGTGTGGTGTACGGGGCGAGAGAGGATTGTTTGTGGTTGGGTGCACTCATTCACACCACTGATTGGATGGACTGGATCGATGGCATGGCACCGTGTGCTGTGCGGTGTGTGCATGTGTGACGATTGCATTGCCCCCTCTCGTGTTTTGTCTGTCTGAAGACTGAACGGGTTATTCTTATTTCGTCCATACATACATTCTGTCAAGTCAAGTAGTGTGTCTGTCATGCCTCCCGCTGCTGCCATATGGTCAGTCAGTCATGCGTACTCCCTCTGGATGGCCAGGCCGCGCTGTTCAAGCTCAGCCTCGTACATTTGGGCCTCGCTCTCATACAGCTGCCTGAGCCTCGTCTGCCGCCGAAGAGTGAGCTCCTGGTTGGCCATGCGCAGCTCCTCCTGCTCAAACTTGCTTTCACGCTTGCGGTTGATCCGCCGAGCTGAACATACACACACACGGAGGGGGGAGTCCATGCAATGGGGCCGAAGCAGAAACGGGAGCTGCAGCAGCCTCCATGGTTGCATTTGGCTCACCGTTGGTGACGCCAGCCTCGAACCACTTGGTGGTTTGGTTCTGTTTGACCAGCCTCTGGGCGTACTGCTCGGCGTCTCTCTGCTTCTCGTTCGCAGCGGCTCTACGCACGAGGGTGAAGTCGGGGCGAGTACGCAAGGGCTGCATGGCAGTGACCTTTTCAACGCAGGAGAGGGGTGCATGCACGCACCAGGAGGCCCCCAGTGGAACGACTCGGAGCTCGCAGTGTTCGAGTTTCTCCGAGCAGTCTCGGTGGTCATCATGTCAGAGCCGCTGACGCCTGTCACCCCTGCAGAGCCAATCTGCGTCGACGTCAGCGTCGAGGTCGGAAGCATCCAAGACGAACCGCCCATGAGCTTCCGACCTCTGAGTCAGGTGCACGGGGCTCAACAGACCACGAGGAGCACAGACCCGCCTCCGCACACCATTGCCGTGCCAGCCAAGCGGCCGCCCCCTCCCTCTGTAAAGCCGCCCCCTCCTACTCCTGTCGACACCAGCCCCAAGTTCATCCCCAAGATGAAAGGCAAATCGAGCCTCACAGGTCTGCCTGTTGAGGAGATGGAGATCAGTGCATCCATCTCCAACGTCCTCGGCGCTGCCGAGGCGGCCGTGCGGCAGCAATTCAGTGACATGCTGAGATCAGCAGCTCAGGTACTGTACACTCGCATTAAGATCGAGACAAAGGCCCGGAAGAGACTGGCTTGACGGTGTCTTTGTGTCGGCACAGGAGGCTGCTGCTCGGAGGCAAGCAGAGGCCGAGGTCGGTCTGTTGAGGGAGGAGATGAAAAGGACAGAGACGACGCGCCGTTCGTCCCATGAAGAGATCACGCGGCTGAGACAGGAGCTTTGGGAGACGAGGGAGCAGCTGGCGAAGAGCGAGGCGGGCAAAGAGAAGACGGTGGCCGAGCTCATCAGCCAGATCCACCAGATGCGGGAACAGTGCGACACCTCTCGAGTCACTATCCAGCAGCTGGAGGCACGAGCTAACGAAGAGGCCGTCACCAACTCAAAGCTTAGACAGCAGCTGAGCGCCGTGCAGCAGGAGAGACACGACAGTCGGGCTGCCCAGTCCTCAGAAGAACTGGCCAGAGAGACGGAGAAGAACCGAATGCTTAGCGGGGAGCTGGACGAGACCAGAAGACATCTTCAGGAGTGCCTTTCCAAGCTGGAGACTACTCAAGAGGAGACTGCCACGCTAAAGAAGGAGAGGGACTCTCTCGCTCAACAGCTTCATGAACAATCCACCAAAACCCCTCCTGCGGCCATCGACACCACTAGCACAGATGTCTCTCTTTTGCAAGAAACCATCACCGAGGCGCGTAAAGAGATCCAGCAGATCCGGCAGAATTCTCATGAGCGCGAGACCAAGCTGCACCAACACTTTGGGGGGCTACTGCAGGGGCAGAAGCACCAGCTTGCCGAGACCACCCAAGCTCTGAAGCACGCAAGGCATCTGCTACAGCTGAAGTGCCCCTACCAGTATGCCGAGCAAGGCGGAGGCATGACCGGCTCGCCAGACAGGGCCTCATCGTGCAAAGAATCGCCAGAAACGATGTCGCCTCCCCTGCGCCCGAGCAACGATACTATGCCAGCCTTGCAGCAAGCACTCAGCGACGCACAGGCGCTGATGAAGGATATCCAGGGGGCCAAGGAAGACCGTCCCCTGCAGCATCAGGACCCTTCCCTTTTCACCTCTCTCCCTCCGCCGATGCGAGGATGGCAGGCGCCACCGAAGCGATCGCAGAGGACGCCTAAGCGCATTGCTGAAGGCGAGGCCAAGTGGCAGAGGTCTCTTCGGGCGGACATGCACGAGCTCAGCGACGGCACACAGGGCTATCCCTCACGCGCAGTGAGCCCCGACACAAGCCCGAAAGACCCAGAAGGCATTCTGTGGCCGCCTGGCCCTGGCTGGGGCACATTTGTACCTCTTGGCCTGACTGCGCCTCCAGCGCGGAGGGAGAGAGAGAAGGGGGCGTCCTCTGCCCGAGTGCGATCGGTGACGCCAGAAGGGCGGCCAGACAAAGAGGTGGAGGCTGCTGCTGCTGGCGCCCCCAGGCGACGGTCGCCCTCCCCACCGCCTGTCACTCCTCCAAGGATTACAAAGGCGGAGATGAAAGGACCGCTGGTAGCGGATGACATTGGGGAAGGTGGACTTAGGAGACATGACGGGAGGCTGCCCAAGAGACACGCAGTAGAGGACCGTACATTGGTGTTCGGGACTCATGCACAGATTGGCCAGCAGAGAAACACTGAGAGCCCCCTATCGCGCCAAATGCCGAGGGACTGGAAAGAGGAAAGAAGAGTGCATCCCTCGGGGTCTGCAGAAGGCGTGCTGGTGGTCGCTGAGCCGCCACGAGGGGCTATCAAGATGGAGAGGGCTTTTGCGCCGATCGGGATGGACAGAGACATCAGACCCACGGTGGCCGATGATATGCTTCAAGACATGCGAAGGCGGGAAAGTCAGCGAGAAACCGCAGATCGGCCACACAGGCCCGCCACTGATCAGGAGAGGAGGCTTCTCCCTGCCACGGCCGCTGCTCCGTCATCGCCCCACAAGGATGCGATCCGCGATCTGTTGAAGGCCCAGAAGGGAAGGAGGCACGATGCCGCTTCCATATCTCCTGGGGATTTCTGGCGAGACGACTGGGGCGGGTCGTTCGACAGCCGAAAGAAAGAGGTCACCGAACTTATATTCGGGGGCGGCAAGAGGACGCCAGCCGATAAAAGGCCGGCCGTAGGTCGGGGAGTGTTGTCGCCCCTTTCGTCCAGTCCCCTGTCTTCCCCCATCTGCAAGCCGTACATACATCGGGCAGTCAAATACACGCCCCTTCGTGACGCATCCAAGCTGAAGCCGCCTTTGCCTCGCCACATTCCCTCCGCGGCGAGTTCCCGTTACTCAACACCGTCCCCTCCCCCGTCCCCGCCCCCCATCACGTCCCTCCCGATGCCTTATGTGCCGCACAAGCACTACTACACTGCTTACACCGCGAGTCTGCCGCTGCCAGCTCGCGAGAGTCAGAGGAACATGCGGCTTGAGAGGAAGCCATGCTGCAGCAGCCCATGTGGGATGGGTTGCAAGAGGTGACTGGCTGGCTGAGTAGCGGCTTACAAATGGACGACGGCGAGTGGGTGGTGGAGTGAGTAGGTAGACACGTGTATGTACATATGCGATTCCATCAACTGTGTGGGTGCATGGACACAGAGTCACTGACTGCGTTGACTGACACATGAATCAATCCACTCATGAATTCATGGATTCGGTCGCCTCGCCAACGGGGGATGAAGACATGGATGTCCGTCAGCTTCATCTCACAGACTAACACCAACAGCAGCAGGTGACAGGCAACAAGGGGGATATGCATACGTATAAAGAGCACGGACACTCTGTGTGTGCCTCCTCATTCATGGGGTGTATCGGCCTCTCCCTCAGCAGCCGGAGCAGCAGCTTGGGGGCTGTCAGTGTCCGTCTCTTCAGCAGGATCGTTCGCCTGGCCCTCCTCTTCCTCGTCACCCTCAGCTGGCTTGGCTGGCGGCACCCTCGTCGCTACATTATTGGCCAGGAATGAATCCTGCAAAAAGGAAATCGGACGTACATGTGCAGCGGCCACTCGTTCAGAGGGTGTAGCTGACTGACCAGTAGTGCAGGCAATTGTGCGCTGTCATATCCCTCCCTCATGTACACGATCCGCCCCACCGCCTCCAGAAACTCCACGAAGGACATCTCCAGGTGACGCCGCTTATCGGTCTCATTCACCTACGGGCACATGCGCACATCCCTCTGCCGCATCGACCAGCTTGGTCTAAGTTGCTTACCTGTGTCATCATTGCGAGGGTAAATGCTAGAGACACCTCACGAGCAGTGAAGCGGCCGTCCAGTGCATCTGAGAAGTCAACAAACAGGAATGAGACATTGCAAGTGCGTATGCGTATAATGCGCGGGCCCGCCCGTAGTTACTGGCGGCTTCGCAGAAGGCGTTGAACTCAGGCAGGCAAATGTATGGCGGCAAACCAGACCCCGCATCACGCCTGACAAACAGACAGACAGACAGACACACAGACAGACAGACAAGAGAGAAAGTACGTATGCGAATTGTGTTGTTTGGCGCCCAAATATTCATTACATGGCGTAGTCGTCGAATGCTGCTCTGATGGTCTTCATGTGTCGCGAATACACCTGCTGAACAGCCTCGGTAAACAGCTCTGACAGGCAGGCAGGCAAGCAGGTGGAAAACAGAGAGACTGGCAGCGATTTGAGGTGTGCTCACTACCTTCCGTTCGCCAGTCGATGGGTTTGCGGTAGTCCTTCTCGTAAGGCAATATGTGACTCTCCTGCACACATGGTGCGTTCATGCATGCGCACAGACAGCCATTTCCGTCCCTTCTCTCTCTTTGACCACACCAGGAGGATCTCCATCGCCTCGCCGAGCGTCTCGGCATCACCACCTGGACACAGAAACCTCTTGCATTTGTCAGTATGCACACCGCTACGCTGCCGTTACTTTTCTTGTATTTCTGGTCGGCCAGCCTGACGATAGCCTCTAGCCACTGGAAGCGCATGAGCGAGTTGTCGACAATCAAAGGATTCTTGACGTGTATTATGTGGGTGTGATCCGGCCTCGTCATGTCGCCGTGCCCGTCGCCTTTGTCCAGCACATTCGCGGCTATAAAAACCATATCACCATCCTGCATAGATGGAAAAGACACACACGCAAGCATACGAGAGGCTCCGTTGATGAGATGTCATGTCTCTTGTTTCTCACTTTCAGCTTGCAAGTACGGTCGTCGATGATGTCTGCAGACCCAAGCAACGAGGCTGTGTGGTGTCGTGCATTCATTTTGCACAGCGGGGCACTGACCGAATGTTTCGAGGATCTCCGTGAAGTCGTTAAGTGCCAGGGCGGGAATGGCTGTGTCAGCCTTCTCCAAAGCAGCAAAGTGCCTGATAGTACGTGTGTAATGATACACAGCATCATGATGTGTGGTTCCCTTCTGCTTGTCTGCGTGTCTCACTGACTTGTAGATGAGCCTGAGCGAGTTGTAATGTGGCCTCAGGATCTCTTTCAGACGCTGACGCGTATCCACATCCTTCACTGCAAAGCACCCACCCCGTATACACCCATCCAGCTCAGCCAATCCACAAACGACAGGCACGGCGTGGCGTATCGTATCCACCGTATTTGTTGAGTTTGGATCGCCTCCAGTCCTCTTCGAAGCACTTGTTGAGCAGGTCATTGGTGTCCAGCCGATACGAGGCGAACAGAGACGGCACGCGCGGCCGCAGCTGCTGCACCTCAGCCACGCTAATCGGCGTGTCGAGCTTGCGGGGCTGCACATTCTCACCTATGTCCACGCCCTTTGGACGCAGCGGGGCTACCCCGACATTCACCTGCAAGTGACGAAGTATCTCTGTGTCTCTCTGTTTGTGTCTCTTTGCGTGTGTACAGTTTTGGTGTGCGTCTTCTTTGGCGGCTCTCCCTCCTCAATCGGCTCCAGCGTCACTGACACGGGCTCGTCCAACTCAATCTTCACAAGCGCAAAGGACACAAAAGGAGAGAGAGAGGACGGTACCAGCCTACGAGTGTTTGTTTGTGTGTGTATGTGTGTGCGTGCGTGTGTTCGCACCACAGGGTTGTCGATGGCTGCGACGGCCTCATCATCGACCTGGAAGAAATACTGGTAGCGTCCGGGCGGGACGGCCCGGCAAATGACGTACCTGATGAGACAGAGACACGCGACAAACAGACGGTCACGAACACCTGGTTATCCGTGTCCATCACCTTTTGTCTTCGCTGTTGTCATCTGCCAGAGTCATCATTCGAATGGGTTTGTAGTGGTCGAACGACGTCAGCAGCCACACGTCATGTGCCTTGGCTGGCGCAGGCCCGCTGCACATGGCGGTGTACTCGAACAGTTGCTCGGTCCACCTGACGGATACCCAGCAGTTCTCGTCGGCACCGCCGCTGATGGACGTGCAACGCTGCAATGGCATGTCTGCAGGCGCGTATACGTGATGGATGCAGGAAGGACACCGAGCAATGTGTGTGTGTGTGTGTGTGTGTGTGCACCGTCGGCAGACTCGACTGGCACCAGAAAGCTGGAAAGGATAGATGGATGAACGAATGCCACGAGAGACAGAGGCAAAGGAATACATGTACATGTACGTGTGTTGCCTTGCCCACCCGATCGCGTCGACATATGCAGCGTTGCCGGCCACATGAAGATCAAACAGCGAGTGGTTACCCTGCAGCCCTGCACAGACAGACATCTCTATGTGGACACACAACGCTTCCACATGGACCAGCTCACGCACCTTCTGCGAGTATGCTGCAGCACTTGGCGTCGAGCTTGTTGTAGGATATGTCGAGGTGCCGAAGGGTGGATCTCTCGCTGAAGATGCGTGCGAAGGCCTCACACGTGGGGACGGCGTTGCCGCTGCCTAGATTGTTCCACGCCAGATTGACGTCACGTAGGCGGCCGTTCGAAGCTGCGTTCTCCATCAATGCTGACAGCCAGTCACCAGGAAAGACAGCAAAGCATGAGTGTGCCCGTAGGTATGGCTGAGCCACCCCCACCATTGGCCAATGCGAGTCCGCCGGCCCCCGAGATTTCGTTCCAGTGCAGGTCCAGCTTGGCGAGGACTTCATGGTCAGCCACGAGCATCGCCACTGCCTTGGCCCCGGTCTCTTTGAAGCCATTGCAGCTCTACACACACCAGCACACTACAGTGAGACGCTATGCTTTCCGTCGATCGTGCACCCACTTACATACCAGGTCGAGTTCTCGCAGCTTTTGACAGTTGCTGATTGCTGTGCACAGCATGTCCACTGCCAAGTCACCAAGCTTGTTGTCTGGAGAGGCGGAGGAAGGAAGTTGACACACAAACAACTAGCTCTGTGCTTGATGCACTTCACTCTCTGCACTGACAGCCAGGCTTACTTACCGGCGAACCTGAGCACCTGCAGGGTCTTCATGTGTGCGAGCTTCCTCCCTATGTGTGTCACCCCCTCCGCTCCGATGTGGTTGTCACTGAGGTCCAGCCGCTCCAGACTCGACGGCAGGGTGGCCCCAAGCGTCGCCGCACCCCTGTCGGTCAGTCGGTTGCCCCTCAAGTTGATGCTCTGCAGGCCGGGAGGGAACGTGTCGCTGACAGAGACATGACACAATCATCTCTGGCTCCTTGCCGGTGTCTTTGCCCACCATTTTGCCAGTGCAGTAGCGTATGAGTCTCCCAGGCTCTGGCCCCTCAGGTTGACCTCATAGTCATGCCGCCGCACCAAACCAGTTGCTGTGGGGAGCAGATTCAGATCTGCAGCACGTTGCACACACAGATGGCCTAGCTACACCAACCTTTGATTCATCCATGCCAGTCGCTTGCCTTCACAGGCCGCATAGTATCTGTCGACCCCCTCCTGTGTCTGCGACACGTCCTCGGGCGGCGGCAAGGGCTGTGCGTCACTGTCGAGCGTCGCCGTCGCCGAATGCTCGAGCAGCAGACTCCCCGTCGACACGTACGATGACCTCTTGTCCTGAGCCTCAATGGATGGAAGCACTGTGGCCTCGGGCCGCCCATGACGCGCCACCTGGGCGTACTGGCCCACACAGACAGAAAACAGACGAGGATAGGTGTAGTGCAGTGAGTCAATCGGCGCCAAACCTTGAAGAAAAAGGTCCATTTCTTGCGTGCGAATTGGTCGGGTGCCTTGTTGGCCGTCTCCCTCCTTACTTGGTCTTCATCCCACACGGGCGGCGGGTGCAAATGGTGTCTGTGCCGCTGGAACTCGTCCCACCCCCTGTGTTGGGCGACGGCGGTGTCGGCCATCAGATTTTCATGAATCTGCACTGACTGCGGCTGAAAATATAGCTGTCTGCGCGGGGGAAAAGGGAGGAGGGAAAAGGGAGGGGAGGGAAGGGAGAAGGAAGCAGAAGCGAGCTTAGAAGCTCGGATCGTGACGGATCTCGTAGTGCGGAGCCGAGCCAGCGTCTTGTCGGGGGTATTGATTCATCATAAAACCTGTCGCGGACGGATGTCATCATTTTGGCGCCTGACCACATCGCTGTTTCCCCTCGGCCTGGCCTACAGGTATGGACACGCACACACAAACACTCACTTCTGCACTCGCTTCTGCAGTACAGGGTGAATGCAACACGTCACACGCTTCTGCCTGTCTGCCTGTCTGTCTGTCTGTCTGTCAGGGCATCACTGCTGCCGTTTGCTGAGGCCGTCCGACCCCCCAACCCCAATCATCCCAGCGGATTCGCAACTCTCTCTTCGTCACTGGCCGGGGGATCCTGCCGCAGCCGCGGACTCCTTACCATGGCTGGCGGATCCACAGCTGCGGCACAGAAGAAGAACGGACTCGTGCCACGACGGATTCTGTTTGGCAATCCGGTCAAGACACAGCCACGCATCAGTCCAGACGGGAAGAGGCTGGCGTACCTCGCTGAGTCAGCCGAGGGACTGCTCAACGTGTTCGTGAGGGACATTAGTGGGGACGACAAGGATCGTCAGGTGACGGCCGACACTGTGAGGGGCATCAGGCAGTTCAGATGGGCGGAGAACAGTGAGGAGGTTCTCTATATTCAAGACAAGGGCGGCGGTGAGCGAATGCAGTGAGTGCAGCGACAAAAAAACGCATAGAGGGTGTTCCCATGAGTGTCTATCTCCCTTTGTGCAGATGAGAATTTCCATGTGCGTGCGGCGTCAGTGACGAGCAAGGAGGTGCAGGACCGTGACTTGACTCCCTTCGAGGGCGTCAAGGCGGAGGGGCTCTTTACCGACAAGCACCACAGGGAGGAGATCCTCATCGGACTTAATATCGAGGACAGGACGGTATGCATGCTCATCAACGGACATGGATGCACATACGGAGAGCACTGTCCATGATAACACTCTGTGGGCGTGTGGGCAGGTGTTCGATATGTATCGCGTGCACATCGGAACGGGCGACATCAAACTCGACACCAAGAATCCCGGTGTGTGAGACTAGAAAACATCACGCCACAACCCACAGGCCCACCCATGGCTGCCTGCATGTGTGTATGCGTCATGCAGGTGACGTGCTCCAATGGCTGACGGACGACAATTTCAAGATCAGAGGCTGTCTGGCAACGGACCCCTCTACCGGAGATCAGTTCCTCCGTGTGCGGGAGAAAGAAGGAGGCGAGTGGAAGACCATCCTCACATGGAGCCTGGACGACTCAGTCCGTCCTATGGAGTTCACTAAGGACGGCAGTGGGCTGTACACCACTTCTTCGCTCGGTCGTGACACGGAGGCCCTGATCGAGCTTGATGCCAGCACGGGCGAGACGCGGCGGGAGATTTTTTCCAACGACAAAGCTGATGTGGGAGCGGTCAATGTCGATGAGGACACACGAGAGGTGACGCGACTCTCGTACGTATATGACAGGTGCGCGTACACGGCAGACAGACGGAGATCGATCGGCACACAAGGCGCCTCATGTGGTACGTGTCCTGTTCGCAGGCGTAAGATGCATTTCTTTGATAAGGAAGAGGAGAGCGACTACAAGCTGGTGGAGGCACACTTGCCTGACGCAGAGGCATCTGTCGTATCAGAAGACCACTCGGTGAGTTCCAGGGAAATCACATAGAGACCAACAATTTGCGTACGTGTATGATGTGTTTCGTCCTGCTTGGTACGTTCAGAAGACCAAGTGGGTCGTCGCTTATACGTGTGACGATGGCCCAGTGGCGTATCACCTGTTCGACCGCACCATCAAGACATTCACCTACCTCTTCGAGAACCAGCCTGAGCTAAACGACTGGCAGCTGGCGAAGATGGAACCTGTCATCATCAAGACGAGGGACGGGCTGGATATGGTGTCTTACCTGACCCTGCCGCCCGGCCATGAGGTTGGCGGGCGCGTGCCGCTGGTGCTCCTGGTGCATGGGGGCCCGTGGGCGAGGGACTACTGGGGCTATCAGCCACAGGTGAGGAGGGAGGATCAATGCTGGAGGGCTGAAATGCTATTGATGGCTGGATGGATACGCGCTTTGTTGCAGGCCCAGTGGTTCGCCACGAGAGGGTACGCCTGCCTGCAAGTCAACTACGTAAGGCCTGGCCTGCATGCCCACCACTCACTCGGTGCGCCATTCCTGCCTGCACGGATGTGCAAATGTGTGTGTGTCGCTCACTCGAATACCTGCAGCGTGGCAGCACCGGCTTTGGCAAGAACTTCGTCAACGCTGGAGACGAAAAGTGGGGCGCACAGATGCAGGACGACCTGACGGACGCCGTCAAATGGGCTATTGACGACAGAAAGGTAGGTCCCACACCACAACCGCATTGACAATGGCAGATGAGCATCTCCCACCATGCCGTAATATGAATGGATGTGTTAAGGTGGCTGATCCCGACCGTGTTGCCATTTTCGGTGGCTCCTATGGCGGCTATGCGGTATTGGCCGGACTGACCTTCACACCGGACCTATATCGCTGTGGTGTGGACATAGTCGGAGTGTCTGAGGTCAAGAAACTGATCGAGAGCATCCCGCCTTACTGGGTCAGTGTTGGCGACACAGATGCGTGCATCCGTGCACATTTCTGTATCCGGTACCTGCCCTTTGTGCGTGTGTGTGATTGTCGGTGCAGAAACCGATGAAGATGATGTTTACGAAGCGTGTGGGCGATGTGGAGAACAACGAGGAGTTTAACAAAAAGATCAGCCCGTACTACCACGTCGACAAGATCAAGGTCGGGCAGCCAGTCAATGTCTGCACACACACGGACGGTGGCCATATGCATTCATGACATGCATCATGCATTCTCTTGCTTTCTCTGTGTGTGTCTGTGTCAGGTGCCTCTGATGATCGGCCAAGGCGCCAATGATCCCCGTGTCCCCCTCAAGCAGAGCGATATCATTGTCGATGTACGGAAGACACACACGGTCACACAGCAGATGCACTGGGTCATTCTGCCTGTTGTGTCAGGTGCTCAAGGGCCACAATGTCCCCGTAGAGTATGTCGTCTTTCCCGACGAGGGCCACGGCTTCGCACGACCACAAAATCGCCTGGACTTCTACGCGCTGGCCGAGCAGTTTTTGGCACGATACCTAGACGGCAAGGCAGAGCCTTATGAGAAGGTGGAAGGGTCCACTGCCAAGGTGACGATTCAGCAAGAATTGCAATAAGGGAACGCCTCAACACTGCCGTCGTGTGTGTTGTTGACTCGCGTGCCATTCCCGCAATAGGTGACAATTTTCGAGGGCAATGGAGCGAATGCCAAGGCCAAAGAGAGCGTCGAAGTAAAAGCATGAAGCACCAAGGAGTGGCGGCCTGTATCTGACACATGAATGAGGGAAGGAACAAAGGACCATTGGTATTTTGCTGGGAGTTTTTGGTGCAGTGCATGCCATGCGTGCATCCATGCAGCGATAATGCATGTGTGTCTGTTTTATACATGCGTGCGCGCGGAAAGTGGTCAGACGAGAGCACACACACACACACAGAGAGCTGACAAATGCATGTATCTGACTGGCTCACAAATGTGATCGATATATGCATAGAACGCCTTCCACCCCATGTAAGCAAAACGAATCCATGAAAAGAAGAAAACGTCTCAATGACTATGGATCAAGACGCATCGATATATCGCGATCGGGTGAACCTCACCCACTCAGTCAGGCCGGCCGCTGTTGGGCTGCGGCCCAGTGGCCTCATCCACTCGTTCGGGGTCCATCATGGGACTCTCCGTCTGCCGCCCCTCACCTACCGGGACCCTCCCCGCTGCCTCACCTTGCCTGCCCATGGCCGCGCAGTGCTCCAACAGCACATGGCGTAGCGACTCGATGGCCTGCAACAGCTGCTGCGGGGACGGGGAGGGCCCGCCGGCGGCTGCGGGTATGGCCGGCATGGCTGGTGTACCGGGCGTTATTGCCGACGGCGGTCGGCCGCTGATCGAATCAATGAGACACACGTACACGAGAGCAATATGCATGGAGAGAGAGAGACATGTGTATGACTAGTACGTGGCGATGTCGTTGATTCTTCTGTCCAATGTGTTTAGTTTCTGTGTGATTTCGTAGAGGATGAGTGGCTGGCTGAACATGCCCCACTGCGCCGACATCCGGTCTGTCGTCTGCACCATCCTGCAGAACACACAGAGGGAGGAAAGAGAGAGAGACGGAGGCATACAGCCACACAGGCAGGTCGAATGGCCGGCTCGGCTCACGCACATGTCCTCATTCTCGGCGTTCATCATCTAATGGAACAGATACACACAGACACACACAGGCAGGGAGGCACGTGCGTGTGTGTGTGCATGTGTCTCTCGCGTACCTCAGAGAGTTTGTGTGTGAGTTTCGACAAGAAGTCGGTAGGCTTGGGCTGCGTCCTCCTCATTCGGGCGAAGAGCAGGAAGGCCCGCCGCACCGCCAACCGCACCTGGTGCTCACGGATAATGGCCGCATCACCTGGGTGTCTGCACCATATGAAGATGCACGCAGGGAATACCCTCTGCATTGGTCGCATGGGCACCTCAGTTTGAGCTCGTCCAGCTTGGACCTCGTGACGTAGAGGATCTCGCAATACGTCAGCGACACCGCCGGATCATGCTCTATCAACTTCCAGGAATCTGCACGCACGCAACAAGGGAATTGCTTGCAGACGTCCACATGAAGATGTAATTGTGGCCCGACCGGCTGACCGAGAATCATGTCTTCCCCCCAGATGCTGCCTTTCATCACGAGCTTGTCGCCGCGGATGGCCACGCCCTTGACGAGAAAGCACATAGTGCACGGCAGCTGGATGATCTCCTTCTGCTCATAAGCTGCCGGAATGAGGCTCTGAGCCAACTCGATGTTGAAGGCCACACTGGTGCGACGCAGCCACCGGACCCGGGATATCCACCGCTCGTTGGTCGCCAGAGCCATCTCACCCTGCAAATGTGTATATAGACATCACCAGGCTACCATTGTATGTATGGGCACATTGCCTGCCTGCAGTCCCGGGGACATTTGTGCTTCGAGTCTGTTGTAGAAAATCAGGCGCTGTAGGCTCCGCGACTGGTGGAAGAAGAGACGCAGACGGCGACGCAAATCGCCCTTGATCGCTGTATGTAAGTATCCACAGAAACAGACAGACAGACAGACAGGGAGGGAGGGAGGAATGCGTCTGATCCATAAATATGCGGTGTGTGTGGTGCGGCACGGCCGTACATCTGTCGTGCAGCATGAAGTTGAGCTCGTCCATGGTTTGGTTGAAGCTGGTGGCATACACATCCAGCTGAGACAAGATACCACACGCAGTACCTACACAACCACACGGCAACACGGCAACAGAAAGAGAGCAACACACAAATAAGGAGGAAGTACACAGACGGCACGGCGCGCCGTACCGATGATGAACGCCCATATGCACGCCCCGATGACCATGAGCGCGGTCGATATGAGGTACTCGGTCGTGTTCTGCGCGTGGATGTCGCCATAGCCAATCGACGTCAACGTCATCACTGCCCAATAAATACTCACTGAGGACACACAGACGAACATACTATTGGATGACGGACGCAGTCACCCCGGTCGACTCGACTCACCAGCATAGATGCCGAAATGGTCGTCGCTTTCCGGCCCGCCCTTGTCCATCTGCACATACTCCAGCCAGTTTCGGGCCGCCTCAAGGTCGGCGCCAGGGGGGAGAGGGCCGCTTTCTTTCGCAATCGACTCCTCCATGCGGCCGACCAGGCCCCAGCAACACGCTAGTCAGACAGAGGCAAACAGACGGGCAGCGAGACATGGTGGAGTAGATGTGTTCATTTATCCTTTGATGGCCGGAAGCCATACCCATCCAGTGGCCAGCGACGACGATCAACACGGCGAACTTAACAAGTGCTATTTTGCCGTAGGGCCAGCTGACGGACGTCTCCATCTGCTTGAACACACGGCTGGTGCTCAACACACGCGCTGACACATGCATGACACACGTGAAACGATGAATAAACGAGACATTTGTGTCGCCTTCATCCTACCGAGTTTGAGCAGTCTGAGCAGTCGCAAAGCCCTGACGATTTTGAGTCGCTGAATGGTTTTCGACTCGTAGAGCAGCCCCAGCACGTCGAATGGCAGGATGGACAGCAGGTCAATGGCGAACCACCCCTTGAGGTAGTGACGCATTATCATCCGACGGTCCTTGACCCTAATTGCACACCCATCCCTTAATCCATGTGTGGTGTGTGATCCATTTCGTTGCTGCTCACTCACCATCTGGCACCAGTCTTTGAGTCTTGTTTGAGGTACATGACGAAGAACATGTTGAAGATCATATCGACAAGGAACAAGAGATCGATCAGCCGATTTACCACAAACAGCCAATCCCACTTGGTCTCAAGGAACGCCACCTGCAGGACAGGACACACCAACAAAGACACCAATCACACCGACGTGTCTCTCTGTCGCATTAATTGCTTGCCTCGTATGGCGTGACAACGGCCGTCCATATCAACACAACCACAATGACGGCGTCCCACACCCGCATAAGCGGACCCATGGGATCCAACACACAGTCCGCCCGCTGCAGATACTCCCGCCACAGGGACGTGTCGTCCCTCTTCTCTCGCATCAGCGTCGGCCTGTCCCCGCCCTGGCTCTTTCTCTCGCCGCCCTTTCTCATGCTGGTCGTCCTCTCCCGAAACACCAGCGCAGCAGCCTTAGGAGACACGCTGAACCTCCGTCTCATCCAGTCGGTCATGGCCTCAACGGCCATCGCCACACTCGCGCTTCGCCGCTTGGCGCCTGGACCTGCGACTTCGGTATCGGCCCCCTCTGCTGCAGAGAGGGTGGTCGTCATGGCGGGCGACGTCAGAGTGGCGCGCAGAGGCAGCGGCTGTGGCTGAGTGTCAGGGGGGCCTGGCCGCTCAGGGACGCCCGGCAGTTCCGAAGCTTCAGCGACGAAGAACGCTTCACCGCGCGCCATCTCTGCTTGAGTTGGGGGTGGCGGCTGGATGCCGTGGAATTGGTCTGGTCCTCGACGGAGCATCGCACCAATGGCTGCTTGAGCCATCGGGAAAGAGAGGGGAATGGGGAGTCTCACTGCTAAGCTAGCAAATCAATTACAACGGCTGGCCTGGACGTTGCTGGCCACGACCCAGCTGTTGAATCGCTTCACATCAATACACACAAGCATCACGCAAAACTGTACACGCACTCAACACGCACCGCCAGATCGACACACCCGTGCTTCGCACACCACAAAGCACCCAGACGGAAGCCACCACTCATACAACATATTATGGCAACGACACACACAGTTAGGTAGCGAGTCAGACCACCGGACTTTCATTTGACCACAGCCGTGGGAACCGGCACGTTTAGTATCCGCAGCACTTCGCGATACTGCCGCAATGTCCTTTCGGCTTGCAGTCGGCTCTCCTCAAGATAATCCTTGGTGTCCCCCACGGCCATTGCAAAGTTGTTGCTGTACGCCAGATAGTCGGTCTGCCGGAGGCCTTCAAGCACGAGGTTGTAGCTCTCGCCGTATTCGAGCACGTCCACGTCACCAAGGCTGTCATCGCCCTTTGACAGAGCTTGGAGAACGCCCTCGAACGCCTGCAGGCAAGTGCCGGACAGAAAGGACACGAGTTGCATGTCAGTGTGGGGGTGCTGTGCCTGTGCTTATCCATCCACGCTCTCGTCCATCCATCGACTGACCCTGTTGATTTGAAAGAGAGGAGAGTAGGTACCGACCGTGCCGAGGTAGCGCCGCACCGCATCGCCGTCGCCCTTAGCCGCCACAGTGCCCCACTTGTCCAACAGCTCCTTGAGCGCAAGATACCCATTCTGAATCCGCGCTATGTACTCTAGCGCTGGGGCTGTATACACAGAACAAGACAGAGAGCAAGGAACGCTAATGTGACAAGTTCAACGAGTAAGTGCGCTTCCCTTCCCTCACCTCCTCGTGGCACATCGCCAGCCAGGGCAGAGCGTGTGACGGCCAGTGCCGGGCCACCAATGCTCAAGAGGGGAAGCACAAGCGCCGCAAGACCCACCTGAGCCGTCACAAGCGCCGAGCGTCGGTCCAATACCGCTTCTGCTTGATCGTCGTCTCGCCTCCTGATCAGTGCTGAGAGGCGCGTCGTTGACGAAAGCTGCGGACGGCGGGCAGGATGCTGCCCTGGTGAGATGCTCACACCGGGGGAAGAAGGCATGTGAGATGGGTGAAATGCCATGGCTTCATTGAGCAGACTGAAGAAAGGGAGAAAGACAGCAACAAAGCGCAGAGTCAGCATCGTCGTGACTCTGGCAAGGGTGATCTTAGTCAGAAGGAGAGAAAGGGGAGGGGTGGCGCTGGTTTGAGCTCGCAGACGTTGGAAAACAGTTATACGCGCTCAACCCTAGAGCCATGCGGATAGCTGCGGGAGATGGACAAACAGATGGATGGATAGCGCAGCTATCTCTCCCCTTTCCCCCCATCGGACCTGGACTCCTTGCATCATCTCATCTCCTGAATCATCTGTCGGCATCTGCAGTGCTACACTCGTGCTTTAAGTCTCACCCAGGTACTTCCCCTCTCCAGAAGTTAGGGCTGCCTGAAACCGCTGCTGCTCCTGAAACCGCTGCTGCTCGAAGCCCTCTTTCCCTTTCCCTCTCCCTCCCCTCCCCTCCCGAGGCATTGCGCACCCATTGCTGCATCAGATCTCACAGGATCTGCCCCTTCGATCTTCGTCCGTCGTTTCCCGTACGCTTCGTGTCCGCTCCCTAGGCCTCCGCGCCGCCCGGCACTCATCTGCTATCTCTCAGCGTCTATCAGCGCATCGTTTGAGCGCCATGGCGATCAACGGCACAGATCCGCCGCCGCCTTCATCGAAGTGGGCGACGGGCGGTCAAGTGAGGCAGGCGTTCATCGACTTCTTCACCGACAAGTGCGGCCACCAGAACTGGCCCTCGTCCCCTGTGGTGCCGCACAACGACCCCTCCCTGCTGTTCATCAACGCGGGCATGAACCAGTTCAAGCCCATCTTCCTCGGCAATGTCGACGCCAACACGCCTTTCGCCAAACTCAAGAGGGTCGCCAACACGCAGAAGTGCATCCGCGCTGGTACGCAGGGGAAGCACCAGGGAAACACACATACAATTGCGTCGTGAGTCGTTCACTGTCTGTGTGAGTGTGTGGGTGGGTGGGTGGGTGATAGGCGGGAAGCACAATGATTTGGAGGACGTTGGTAAGGACGTGTACCACCACACCTTCTTTGAGATGTTGGGCAACTGGAGCTTCGGCGACTACTTCAAGGAGGAGGCCATCGACTGGGCATGGCAGCTCCTCACACAGGTCTACGGCATAGACCCAGAACGGTGCGCGAGCGAGCGAGCCAGCCAACCACACACAGGAGGGCAGATCGAATGTTCATGTTGATTGGTCGATCGACAGGCTGTATGCTACATACTTCAAGGGCGATTCGTCCTGTCCGCCCGACGATGAGGCCAGGAGACTGTGGCTCAAGTACCTCCCGGAAAGCAGGGTACGCAAGTAGACACCCGTGCGTCTATCACGTGTACATCCCTCCATTTGTGTTATCAATGCTGTACTCCATCCATCAGGTGTTGGCGTTTGGCGCCAAGGACAATTTCTGGGAGATGGCGGACACGGGGCCCTGCGGACCGTGCAGTGAAATACACTACGACAGAATCGGTACGCATATGGATGGAACACACACACAGACGGGCACAGGGACAGAGAGGCCGGCAGCATCCCCGACATGTGTGTGGCTACTGTGAGTATGTGTAGGTGGGCGTGACGCGAGTAGTCTGGTCAATGAGGACGACCCCGACGTGCTGGAGATCTGGAACTTGGTCTTCATGCAGTTCAACAGAGAGAAGGACCGGTCACTCACACCTCTGCCCGCACCGTGCGTCGACACAGGTAGCCACACCTTCACACCCCCACCCACCCTCCCACCCACATGATTCTGTGTGTATGTACAGGCATGGGTCTCGAGCGCGTGGCGTCCGTGTTGATGGGTGTGCGGAGCAACTACGACACCGACCTGTTCACCAAGATATTCACCGACATACAACGCGCCATACCTGGGCTGAGGCCATACACAGGACTGGTACAGTCAGTACAGAACACACAGACCGACCGGCACACATGCACGTACTCACACTTGTTTACATATCTATACGTATGTCTGTGTGTGTGTTAAGGTGGGCTCCGCCGACGCGGACAGGGTGGACATGGCGTATCGCGTGGTGGCCGACCACATTCGCACACTCACCGTCGCAATCAGCGACGGCGCACAGCCCAGCAACGAAGGACGAGGGTCAGTTCAGCTGACCACACCAACACATGCACACACTGACGCATAGCATCTGTCTGTCATGTGTCTATGAAGGTATGTGTTGCGGCGAATTCTGCGGCGTGCTGTGCGGTACGGCAGGCAGTTCCTCGGCGCGCCAAGTACACCCACACTCACATACACAGTACAAATCGACATGTGTGTGTCTTCTTAATGTGTGTGCAGAGGCCCAGTTGTGGTTCAGCAAGCTGCTGGACTCGGTCGTCGACATACTCGGCGACGCATTCCCCGAACTCAAGAAGGTAGGGACGGCGCACGTGCATGTCACTCAGACATCCACGCGAAGTCCCCATTGTTCGTTTGCCTATCTGTGTGTGTAGGATCCCGAGTCTGTCCGGAGCGTCATCGCGTCGGAGGAGCAGCAGTTCAGCAAAACACTCGAGAATGTACGCATGACTACCCACCTGAGCAAACAGATACACAGCCAGCCACACACTCAGCCAGCCAGACAGGAAGACCCCCGTTTTGCCTTATGCGATGGATGCGCTCAGGGCCTGAAAGAGTTCGACCGCATTCTGCTGGCCACCCAGAACAGGGGCCAAAACGTGTTCCCAGGAGGCGACCCAGGTGTGTTGGTTGACGTGCCTCCTCTCCTGGGTCGACAGACACCTGTCTGTCATACTGTCTGAATGTCGTTAGGTGCGTTTGTTCTGTACACGACGTATGGGTTCCCTCTGGACCTGACACAGCTGATGGCCGCGGAGCAGAACATGAGAGTCGACACACAGGAATTCGACCGAAAGTGAGATGAGCTGATAGCTGATGTAGTCTATGGTGTGTGCGGTGAATGTATGTCAGGTTTGCGGAGCACCAGCAGCTGTCAAGGGAGTCGGGCAAATTCAAAGGCGGCGGCGGTATGTCAGATACATAGATACGCAAATAGCCTGTACGTGTGTGACGTGCGCGTGTAGGCCTGAAGGAGCTGACGCCCGACCAGCTCAACTACCTCAAGGAGACTCTCAATGTCGACCGGACCGGTGTGTGCTTGACAGACGTGAACACCGCCCATCAGACACTCGTGTGTGTGTGTGCGTGGGCAGATGACTCGCCCAAGTACGTGTGGGACACCGACGGCGCCGCCATTGGCAGACCCGTCGAGGCCACACTCAAGGCCATCTGGGACGGCGAATCATTCCTGGTACGTTTACGGACCGACGCACGAGTTTATGGATATGTGTGCGGCAAGGATTGTTGGCTGATGGTTTGATTGACCAGGAAATGATTGAGCACACCGAGGAAAAGAGGACGGTGGGCCTCATCTTCGACCAAACGACCTTCTACGCAGAGGCCGGTCAGTCAACACACACACACAGGCAGAGAGAGTGTCAGTGTGTGTTCGCTGATCGGACACACCGTGTGTGTGGCCATTCCTGGCAGGTGGGCAGATCTTCGACACGGGCAACGTCGACTCGTACGGCCAGTACAGGGAGGGCGGCTTCGTGGTGACCGAGTGCCAGAAGTTCGGCAACTACATCATGCACATCGGACACATGCAGTCTGGCAACGCCATGAACGTACACACACACACACATCACCCCCCACCTCCCTTGACACGAACGGACATATGTGTGTATCCTTTGTGGATCCGCGCAGGTTGGCGACAGCATCAAGCTGCATGTGGACTACTCGAGGCGTGCACACATTGCCAAGAACCACACGGCCACCCACCTGCTCAACTTCGCACTCAGGAAGGTACTCGGCAGCAACTGCGACCAAGCAGGTGGGTCAAACACATACATCCAGAGCACCCCCACACTTATGTGTCCACCGTGTGCGTTAAGGGTCGCTGGTTGAGCCGTCAAGACTCCGGTTTGACTTCAACTGGGGCAAACCGATCGAAACACAGGTATACACAGACACCCACCCACACAGATGCCCTGTGCATTGTGTGTGTCGTCCGTCCCTCAAAACACACAGGAGTTGGAGAAGATCGAGGAGATCATGAAGGAGCAGATCGCGCTGAAGCTGCCCGTATACAAGAAAGAAGTCCCATACAACACAGCAAAGGCAATCAACGGTCTCCGTGCGGTCTTCGGGGAGCAATACCCCGACCCAGTGCGAGTCGTGACGGTCGGAGCACCCATCGAACAGCTGGTACGTCGCGCACACACGAGATGCATCCATGGCGACAGCGTCACGAGCATGCGTGTGTGTGTTCCGATGGGGCACATTTGCAGACGGAGAACCCATCTGGTGAACTGGGTCTGCATCACTCAGTGGAGTTCTGCGGGGGCACTCACCTCGACAACGCTAAACAGATCAAGGTAAGTACATACATCACTTCAACCGTCAACACGTCAACATCACATTCCTCGGGTGTGTAGGATTTCCGCGTCTTGTCCGAGGAGGCGTTGGGCAAGGGCGTCAGGCGGATGTATGCCGTCACCGGACGCAAATCAGACGAAGCCAACAAAGTCAGTACAGTGCATCATGACAAGACTCATTATACCCCCACTCTGTTTGTCCATTAGGAAGAGGCAGAGACAAGTCAGCGCATCGAGGAGGTCAAGAAGCTGTCAGACAAGGAACTAGACGAGGCCATCACCTCCCTCCGCGCCTACCTCGACGACAGCAAGATCCTCCCACTCATATCAAAACGGCGGTGCCTCAAGACGCTGGACGACCTCAAATCATCCCTGGTACACACATCACATGTGCGCATCCCCATGACGGGTGTCTTCATACATGTGTGTGTGTGTGTGTGTGTGATGGTTCAGGTGAATGCGGGCAAGAAGCAATCAAGGGCCCTGATCGAGACGGCAAAGAAAATGGGCAGCGAGCTCGCAAAGGCAAGGACGGTGGGCGGGGAGGATGGTCACCTGCCTATCAATATCACGTGCTGTGTGCTGTGTGTTGCAGAGGCAGAGTACGACGGACCCTTTCTTGGTGCTGGAGGCCAAGGAACTGGATGGAGATGGCAAAGCCCTCGACGCACTCGCAAACGTACGTCAGCCTCTCCAACCCCCCTCCGCCCCTCCCACATCTATACAGATGTGCACGTGTGTGTCTTCTTGCAGAGCTTGAAGGCGGAGAACGCCTCACTTCCCTTTTTGGTCGTGACGGCCAACGCCAAGTCGCTCTCGGCCATCTGTGTGGTGCCGGACGCTCTAAAGGACACGATGAGCGCCAAGACGTGGCTCAACGAGTGCCTGGGGGCGTGTGGCGGCAAGGGAGGCGGCCAGGACACAAGAGCAGTCGGTACGTGAGATGCAAAGACGAACACACACAGATGAATGGCTGGGAGCAAACATGTGTGTGTTGGCTTGTGTGTAAAGGCAATAGTCGCAACGCTGACCAGGTGCAGGGGGCACTTGATGCGGCGGAGTCGTTCGCCAAGAGGACGCTGCAGGGGGCGTAGCGGTATCATGACGACTTTTTGATGCCTGTCCTGCCATGGCGGCTTGATATTTTGTGTGTGGATATCCATCCCTCCGTACGCTGGTACATCCACGTCCACTCACACATGCGTGTCTGCCATGTGGTTGCTTTGATGAATTCACCCACTGTGTGTTGTGTGTCACCAACATGCAATGCACGTGGGTCCCTTCCCGTGTGGATTTATTGATCTGACGGACCCGTGCTGCGTTTTAATTTGATCAATGCCTGGACGCCTTATCGCATATGTATTCTTGTGGTGTGTCATGTTGTCTGTGTTGTGTCGTGTTGTCGCCCATCGTGTGATAGACAAGCCGTGTCGCGTGGTGGAACAATTCGTATGTGTATCAATCTCACATTACACACACGCACACCCGAACGTGGATACGTCCTCGAGCGTGCAGTCAACAAGAGAGAGAGAGAGAGAGAGAGAGAAAGAGCAACCGACAGACAGCAAATGAGAAGGCCCTTTCCCACCTCCCCAGCCACCACCGCCCATACACAGAAACACCTCTGAGTGCAGATTCATGAAAGGCCCCAAGCAGCGTCATGGTCGTGTCCCGATGAGCCCGTGTCATTGGGGGAGTGGCCAAAGACACTGTGTGGCATGGCGGTGTGTGCCCCGCTGGATGCGTTCTTGCCCCTGTGGTCACTGATGACCTTCTCAAACACACCGGGGAACGAACACCACGACGAACACTGTTCAGAGAGAGAGAGAGAGACACACAGTGTCACGCGGCTGCGTGCGTGTGTATGTCTGCCCCATCGACGCACCCACCCTGCAGAACTCGTCGTATGTGATGCCCTCGGCCTCCTCCACATCATACGTATCGACATTTTTGGCCGCAAAACACTGACAGACACATACATGCATCGACATTCAATCTGAGTCTTTTCGTTCCTGCAAATGCCTTGACGTGACGGGTGCGTACATGTACGAGTCTGCTGAGGTCTTCGCCGAAGAAAGGGTGCAGGTGCGTGCCGATCTTGATGTGTTTGAACAGATCGGCCACCCCTAATGTCTCATCGCCGTCCATGTCGTACGTGTGGAAGGCGTAGAAGAGCTTGGCCTCGAGACTGCCACGCAGCATGAGGGCGAAGAACTTCAGAAACTCCTCATTCGTCACGTGATGGGTGCCTGCAATGCAGATCCACGCATCCCACATCAGACTCCGTGTGTGCGCCTCTGTGGGTGGCTATGTGTGCCGACTAACTGTCGTGGTCGAGAAGGGTGAAGAGGCGGCTCACTAATGCAGTCGCCTTCCCCCCAAAAGCGTCCTGACACGAACGTGATGAGGGCATGAAAGACGGACGGATGTCGGTGGATGGGAGGGAGGTATGTACCTTGAGAGTGACGGCAAAGGCCTTCCGTGTGAGGTACTTCTGCAGCGAATTGCTCGTCATGGCTCGAAACACCTCTAACAGGCAAGACACGGACAGAATTCAAACATGTACATACATCCGTCTCCTCTCGTCCATAGTGCACCCACACGTACCATCAATGGCCTGCATGTCCTTGTGAGGCAGCTTACCTGCACACAAGCGCAAAGAACATGTACGCAGACAATGTGCGTGCAAATGTATGCATATGATTCCACTGACCGCTGCGTAGGATTTCTGTGGCTTCGTCAAGGAATGCTGCCTTGAGGTCCTTGAATTTCTGCCGCCGTGGGGTCGGATTGGCCATCGAGCTCAGCATAAAGGTGCTGCCGATGAAGATGCCCGCACCACGGCTGCGCGACGAGTCAGAGATAGAACCACCAGCACTCGTCTGCAGGGAAGCAGGCAGGCAGGCAGGCAGATAAAGTCCATGTATGCAAGTCGTATGTTGTTGTTTGCCTGAATACTGACGATATGCTCGGGGCCTGACCCCATGGAAGAGTTCTGACGAGCAACCACTGAAAGCGCATAGCAGAACAAGCCTGTTCATCTCCATCTAGCCGAGCCTGGATCTGCGCTGCGCCCCCTCACCCCTGAGAGCCTCCGGCCCATGCGATGTGGTTGCAGGCTGATTGTGAGCCCCTTTTTCCCTGTGCGTAACTGGCCTGACAGCGGCGTGGGCATGTGCACCGCCGGGGTTGCGGTGTGCTTTGCCGCCCTTGAGCCTCTGTAACAGCTGCTGGCGGCGGTGTGGGTTGGTGTAGTGCTCCAGACGGGACGGATCCTTCGAGAGCTCAAGGCGGGCACACTGAGAGGACAACAGCCATTACGACACACATCAGAAGTGGCAATTGCACGGTAATGTGCATGTTTTACCTACCGCGTGTTTGGATACCAGCATGGCGTCTGCAACTGCTGTGTTTGCGTGACTGAAGGGAGAGACTGCAAAAAGCCCCCACCACCCCCACAAGCTCGCAAAGGAAAAACGCGGTCCTTGGCTTCTGATCAGGTTGCGAGGAACGTGATCTGCTGAAGCAAAGCGTCAGAAACACAGTTGGCAGGTTTTTGAGCGACGTTGGTCGCTGACGACATAGCGAGTGCTGTGTTGCTGTTGGAGAGGGGATGGCGTATGATTTGCGCCGCAACTGGGTGAAGGGCAAAGTGCTCGACTACCTTTCTGTCAAGGCGGACAAATGGGACGACCTCTTGGCGCGGGTGAGGATCGGACAGATCCGGCAGCAGTCTCACGCTCCAGGAAATTGAAGTGCATGCATATATCTTGTTGCGGCTTGTTGGTTGCAGGAGGACCGGTGGGCGGAGGGAGAGCTGATGAAATTCCTCAACGAGGCGGCCAAGGGCAAGAGTCTGTTCTTCTACGCTCTGCAGACCACCGAGCAGCAAGAGATAATCGGTGCGAACACATACATAGATGTATCATGTACGGGTGCATGACAATCAATTCACATTTGTCCGTCTGCTTTTTGTGTCTGTCTGCCTGTGATTGTTTGTTTGTTTGTTTGTTTGTTTGTTTGGTCGGCTCACTTGTCTGTCTGTCTGTCTGTTTGATTGTGTGTGTGTCAGTGGAGCACAAGGTGGAGGTTGCGGACGAGGAGGCCGATGACTCAAGCGCTGCTGAGACAGACAACGGGGAGGCAGCAGACATACCTCCTCCCGTCGCCGATGCTGCAGACGCGGCACCTCCCACAGAAAACGCCGATGCTTCAGCAGTGAACCCACAGGTCGCTCTTTCATTCCATATTCAAAGTGTTTCGCGCACTCTGTGTCTGTGTGTCTGTGTGTCTGTGTGTCTGTGTGTGTGCGTGTGTGTGTGTGTGTGTGTGTTGTGCAGGAAGGAGGGGAGGAGTCAGCGCCTGAGGCGGCTGACGAGAGGCTGGAGACAGCCGTGGATGAACCAGCAGGCGAGCACCGCGACTCGCTCACCATTCCGGTAGGTCCAGGCAGACGGAAGAGTAAGAAGTACGAGACGGTTCAGAAGGTGGAGAAGATATGGGTGACCAAGGACCTTCTTTACATGGCCGTGGATCTCCTCCCGCCGCAAGCCAGCCCAGTCCTCACATGCTACTTCATCAAAGGTGTCGACGGACCTATAGACACTGCTGGCAAGGTGAGCTCTCTCTCTGTCGCACATACGGATCCACAATTTGTGCACGCGTGCGTGTCTTTTCACTGCAGATTCCGCACGAGGAGATGTCGAATTGCATCGCTCTTGGCTGCCTCCACGGCCACTTCCTTGTCGACCTGAAGTTGCTGCTGAAAGAGATCTACATGCCAGCCCTCGAGAGGAAAAAGGCCACCGCCGTCAAGGAGGGATCGGGCGACAGCGTGACGCGGGCGGCCGAGCCTACCTCTCCTGTCGAGCAGCCGACCGAGGGAGAGGAGGAAGAGGGAGAGAAGCTTGCTGGCGACGATGGCGAGGAGAAGGAAGAAGATGAGGACGAGGCGGATGAGGGTGAGGAGGCTGAAGAGGCGGCGGAACAAGAGAAACCAGAAGGGGAGGCAGAGGAAATTGCGACAGCGCCGGAGGCCGCACACGAGGAGGCAGAAGGAGCGGAGGAGGTACTTACGTCATCACTGAGAGTTCCTCTTGCTCTCACACGATAATTGATGCACATCTCTCTGCCTGTAGGTGGAGGCTGCTGAGGGTGAGGAACAAGAGGCTGTTGCGGCTGAGGGTCAGGAGGAGACAGCCGAGGCGGCGAAGGAGGAGGAGCATCCGCCACCAGAGGCAGCCACCGAAGCTTCAAAGCCACCTGAGCAGGCAGCGATGGCGGCGGCAGGTGCAAAGCTGAAGAAGAAGACCACTAAGAGGCGGATGACCCTCACAAGAGCACCCAAGTCCGCCAAGGCACAGCGGGCTATCGAATTACCAGGACACGTTCACGACGAAATATGCGGATCGGTAAGAGAAGTGAAGAGGAAACCAACAATCATCCATGTCGGTTGTGTGCGCTTGTGTGTGTATTGCAAAGATGTCGAAGTTTCTGGCTCAAGTGAGCCACACGATCAGCCAGGTGTACGGCAATGTGCACATTTGGCTGCCGGAGCTGCCCCACGACGAGCTGCAGGCGCCTCAGCCCACTCGGGACTACAAGCTTGTCAGCAGCCTTGAAAACACCGTCGAAGAGTGGTTTCTCATCATCACAAACGTCCTCAAAGCAGAAAACGCACGCCAGCGGGACAACAAATACCCTCTAGCTGAGATAGACTACTGGCGGGACCGGACGAGTGCAGTCAGCACGCTCTACGAGCAGCTCAACCTGCCGGCGGCCCAAAAGGTGACCAGGTACCTGCGGGTGGTGAGCGATCCGCCGGTGCTGCAGCGGTTCCAAGAGTGCTATGGGGACCTGCAGAAGCTGCATGTAGAGGCCAAGGATAATGTCAAGTTCTTGTCGACCCTGGAGCGTCATTTCAAGAACTTGAGCCAGGGGAACCTCACTCAGGCGATGGAGACACTGCCCTCGCTGCTGCACGGTGTGCGGATGGTGTGGATCATCTCGAGGCACTACAACACTGACGATCAGATGGAGCCGCTTATGGTGCGAATCGCCGAACAGGTAAGCAGAAGCAAGACAACAAGGCCACGAACACAGTTGAATGCATGTCTGTCATGTCGTGCATGTCTGTCATAGATCGCAGATAAGGTTGAAGAGGATCTGCAGCTGCAGACTCTGTTCGACGAGGACCCGCAGAAGTCCATGTCTCTGATCACTGAGGCCAAGCAATGCCTCGACAAGTGGGAGGAGAGCTACATGGCCGTTCGCAAGAAGATCGAGGACTCGGGCAGCGACCATAGGTGGGAGTTCGACCGGAGGAGGCTATTCAAGCGCACTGAGTACATGTCCAAGATATGCGACTATCTATGGGAAATCGCACACGTCCTCGACCAGTTCTACAAGTTTCTCGGCCCCGAGCTCAAGGCCGTGACGCGAGACGCGCAGGGCATCGACGAGCTGCTGGGGCGCGTCAGGGACCTGCTGACTTCTTTCGAGACCGTCCGTGACTACATGTTTGACGAGCGATTCGCATCCACTTGGGAGACACTCATGGCACAATTCAGGGAGAAGGTAAGAAATCGACAGACGGACACGCATTCCACATGCATTAATCGCATGGCTGCGTGTTCAGGTCGAGGTTATTGAGAACAAGGCGATAGCTTTCATCGACACCCGCTTTCGAAACCTCCGGTCGGCTGTCGGTGCCTTCCAGCTGCTGCGCAACTTCAAGGAGATCGAAAGCAGACCCAAGATCAACGCCAAAATGAGCGACAAATTCGTCGACATACTCACGCAATACGGTGGGCAGTCATTTTCAGACAGGCACAAACGGGAATGTCGACTTATTTCGCCCAGGTCACGAGTTGCGTAAGATCGATCAGTTGTTTCACGCCGATAGCTCGCAGCCGCCAATCACCAAGGGCAAGCCGCCGACTGCCGGAGCGTTGGCATGGGCGAGGTCGATACTACAGCGCGCCAAGGAGCCTATGCTGGCGTTCAAGACAATGCCGCAGTTGCTCGAGACGCCAGAAGGACAGGCAAGCCAGCAGGAGTCTTCTTCGTCTTGTGTGGAGACATTGGGGTGTACTACTCTCTGTGTCAGGCGGTGTGTCGAGAGTATGTTGCACTGGGTAAGCAGATAGTGGAGTACGAGAAGCAGCAGTTCGAAGCATGGGAGCAGCAGGCCAGCGATGCGGTCGTCAACTGCCTCAAGTCTAACATACTCACAAAGGACAAGGGTGAGAACACTCACAGACGCAGAAATGCACATGGCGCTGCAACCACGCAGGCAAGTACAAGGTGAATTTCAGCCCTCATCTGTGGCTGTTGACGCGCGACGCCCGCTACATCGACCAGATGGGTGGCTTTGATGTACCGCACACGGTGCTCAACATGGCATTGCAGCAGGAGAAGTATCGGGGCTACTGCGAGCAGCTCACCATCATGCTGTCCAGCTACAGGGATGTCGTCGGCGACCTCAGCCCCGTCCAGAGGAAGCTCCTTTCCAAACAACTCAAAGACCTCGAAAAGTAAGGAAACGGCGAAGATCAATGGAGGAGCGATAAAGCTGGCTACATGTGTGCATTCGCAGTCACCTGCAGACGGGTTTGTCTCCGCTGAATTGGAACTCTCTCGGTATCGGGGAGTTCATTGACGAGTGCAACAAGTGTGTAATAGGAGGGACACCAACATCCACACGGCAAAGAGTGACATACGCGCACTCTCATCTGTGTTTGCAGGGGCATCTCGGCTTTCAAGGAGACGCGCGACCAGGTGGAGAAGAACGCTGATCTGATTGAGGCAGTTGTCAAGGCCATCGATGGCGCTAAGCTCGTCAAGGACTTCGACTGGAACAGAAAAGAACTGCTGGACGTGCAGGTAGGTGGGCATGTGTAATGAAAATGCAATGCTATCAGCGACCTTGTCTCTTTTCTACTTGTTAGGAGTTTTATGAGTACTTCGAGAAGCATCGTGCGGTGCTGATCGACGAGTTGCGGAAGAAGTATGACGGCATCACTCCGTTCCTGATCAAGATAGAGGAGACGACGGCGGGCAGCAAGACGGGCATGGCGCCCTCGATGGCTGAGTACTACCAATTCTGGGAGCGGAGGATACTCAACGCACTCACGACCATGCTCATCAGGGGTACGCATTGATTCGCCCACACACCGCTGCCCATGTCTCTGCCTGTTGTGTGATACTCGCAGCGATGAGCTCTTTCCAGAGTCTGTTCAGCACGAGTCCGTCAGGCCCCAAGCGCCCGCCTCTGTTGAAGATCAAGGCGGACTTCAACCCGCCCGAGGTTGTGCTGCAGCTCAAGTCTATCTTCAAGCTCATCTCGAAGCTGCTGCAGAACGTCCTGCAGTCCGCACAGCAGTTCGTCAGATGGATGGACGGCACCTGCAAGTATGTGAGCACGCGAGAAGGAAGCCACACACACAAGCGGATGTAAACGCTACATTGTGCTGCGTGTAGGTTGGTGCCTCCCCAGCCGGGTCAAGAGGAGGACAGCCAGAACCAGTTCACGTTCTATAAGGACATATCCCAAAACCCAGCGCTCATTGACATGACCATAGCCAACCATCACGCCATCCAAAAGGTGTTCCAGAACATGAATCGCTACCTCAAGTCGTGGAAGAAATACGAGACGCAGTGGGGCCTGTGGGATCCCAAGAGGAGACACGACCTCGAGAAACTCATGGACAAGAAACCCAACGTCGTGTACTTCGACATCTACATCTGGGTCTACAAGAAGGTGTGAGTTGGAGCACCAGACAGAGAGAATGACATCATTCACAACATGCGTGTGGTGTGTTGTCTCAGCTCGCTGAGGACCTCAACGCGTTGCCGTCTGAGAAAGACATCGGCTTCATTCGGATCGACTCGAGTGCGGTAATAGCCGGTATCCGTCACCAAGCACTCGAGTGGGTCGCCGATTACGGCCGCATTCTCAACCAGCTGGCAAACAAAGACCTCCAGAAGATCACCACAGAAATCAGAACTTTCAGGTAGCATCATGCAGTCAGGTCCATCGACATGTCTCGCTGTTGATGCATTCACGTGTGGATTCATACGTGTGCAGGGAGAACATCGAGGCTCCCCCCAGCTCCTTGGATCAGCTCAAGTTCCTCCTGAACGAGATCACAAAGATCAAGGCCGTGTCTCTCGACATGGAAATCAGGTGTGTTAGCGTTGGCATCCACACATTGGCTCACTGGTCTGTGGCCATTCAGGATTGCCGATGTGGAGGAGCGCTACCACACTCTGCAGTTATACAAGTGCACGGTCGATCAGGAGCAGATCGAGGCGGCACAGAACCTCCGCAGCGACTGGAAGAATCTCAAGGACGCCGCCCTCACCAAGGACCGCCGCATGATCCGCACCAAGCGGGAGTTTGCCAACGTGACGCAGCAGCAGGTGGAGGAATTCGTCCTCGAGTGCAGGCATCTGTGCAAGACCTTCAAGGAGTCTGGTCCGGGCGCGGCTGACGTGTCTCTCGACGACGGCGTGGAGCTGCTGCGCAAGTATCAGAGCGACCTCAACACATTCCAGAACCGCAGGGAGAACCTCGTCAAGGCTGAGATGCTGTTCATGCTCCCCATAAGCAGGTCAGCACATGAACGAGTCTCGTGTCTCCTCATCCATATATATGTCTTATACTGTACGGAACGTGTCGATGTCTACAGCTATCCCGAGCTGATCGCTTTGGAGAAGGAGCTTCGTCTGCTCAAAATTGTGTATGACATCTACGTGGAGCACAGCACGGCCGTCAACGACTGGAGCAGCCAGAACTGGTCTAAGGTGGACATACAGGCCCTCTCAAAGGCAGTCGAGGGATTCGACAAGAAAATACGCAAACTCCCAAAGGACCACCCAGAGCTTGGACAACTCGTGGTCAGTATCGTACGAAAGAGAGGAACACATCTGTTTCGCATGTCTCCCGCCACGCATTGCAGACGTTCCGCAAGTTAGAGGAGGTCATCACATCCTTCAAGAACTCTGTGCCGCTCATCGAGAAGCTCAAGCACGACGCCATCCGGCCGCAACACTGGAAGCGGCTGCTGGCGTTGGCTGGACTAGACTCCGACATCGACATGAAGAAGTTCACCCTAGCCACCGTTTTCGACATGCAGCTGCACCGCTTCCCCGACGAAGTGCAGGAGATCGTCCAGGAAGCACAGGAGGAGCTCAAACTCGAGACGAACATTGGCAAGATCGAGTCCACGTGGCGTTCCTTCACCTTCGAGATTTCCAAGTACAAGTCGGAAGACCGCGGGTACGTCCTTAAGGCCAACGAGGAGCTCAAGACGCTGCTCGAGGACCACATCCTGCAGCTGCAGAGCATGACGGCCTCGCGCTTCGCCGCGCCTCTCATAGAGCGGATCAAGAAGTGGGAGAAATCGCTGTCGACCATCGGGGAGGTGTTCGACCATTGGATGCAGGTCCAGCGCAAGTGGATGTACCTCGAGAGCATCTTCCTCGACTCGGACGACATCCGGCTGCAGCTCCCCGAGGAGGCCAAAAAATTCGACAAGATCCACAAGCTCTTCCGCGCCCTTATGACGCACACCTTCCAAAACCCCAATGTGCTGACAGCCTGCTGCTCTGAGGGACGGCTGGAGGAGCTCAAGGGCCTTGCCACCGAGCTGGATCGATGCCAAAAATCCCTATCCGACTACCTCGATACCAAACGAAATGCCTTCCCTCGGTTCGCCTACCCAGCACGAGAACATGGCGAACCCTGTGTCTCCCCTGTCTCTCCCGCGTGTGTGTCTCAGCTTCTATTTCATATCCGACGACGAGCTGCTGTCGATCCTCGGCTCGTCCGACCCCCAGGCGGTGCAGCAGCACATGCTCAAGCTGTACGACAACTGCAAGGAGCTGACCTTCGGACGCGGCAAGCAGGTCATGGGGATGGTGTCGGACGAGGGCGAGTCGTACTCGTTCCACCAGCCGCAGAAGGCAGAGGGGGCCGTCGAGGAGTGGATGAATCGCGTCGATGACGAGATGAAGAGCACCCTCCTCCGCATCATGAAGGAGGGCGTGTTCCACTATGCCACCATGGACCGGTGATTGACTACACATAAGCACCCGACAACTCATGTGCATGTGTGTGTGTGCATGTGTGTGTACTCATGTTCAGCGTGCAATGGGTGCAGGAGCGGCTGGGCATGGTGGCCCTGGGCGGCTCACAGATCTGGTGGACGTGGGGCGTCGAGGACACATTCCGAAAAGTCTCGGAGGGGAACAAGCACGCCATGAAGGAGGAGGCTGCTCGGGAAACCAAGCAGGTCAACGATCTCGTCGAGCTGGTCCGCCAGCCCATGGATGGCCGCGTGCGCAAAAAGATTAACACCCTTATCATCCTGGATGTGCACGCGCGAGACATTGTGGACCGGTTCGTGCGCGACTCCATCCTTGACGCGCGAGAGTTCGAGTGGGAGAGCCAGCTGAGATTCTACTGGGACCGCAAGCTCGACGACATCGTCATCCGCCAATGCACGGGACAGTTCAGGTCAGTCACAGGAGAGACATCCACGTCAATGCATATGTGGGTAATATGGTGCAGGTACGGTTACGAGTACCAGGGTCTGAATGGCCGTCTGGTGATCACGCCCCTCACCGACCGCTGCGTCATGACTCTCACGACGGCCCTCACTTTCTACCTCGGCGGCGCCCCGGCTGGTCCGGCAGGGACGGGCAAGACCGAGACGGTGAAGGATCTCGGCAAGTCGCTGGCCATCCGCTGCGTGGTCATGAACTGCGGCGAGGGGCTCGACTACCGGGCCATGGGGACGATATTCTCGGGCCTCGTGCAGACGGGCTTCTGGGGGTGCTTCGACGAGTTCAATCGCATCAACCCCGAAGTGTTGTCGGTTGTGTCGGCGCAGATCAAGACCATCCAGCTGGGCCTGCAGTACAAGAAGAGGACGATCGAGATGCTCGGCAAGGACCTCAACCTCATTCCCGCCGTCGGCATATTCGTCACGATGAATCCCGGATACGCCGGCAGGTCTGAGCTGCCCGACAACCTCAAGGCCCTCTTCCGCCCCGTGACCATGATTGTCCCCGATCTCATGATGATTTGCGAGATCATGCTCATGTCGGAAGGTCAGTAAGCCTTCACCTCCACGTGCCAACGTTCCTGCTATATATTCATTACCGATCAGGTTTCTCTGTTGCGCGCATCTTGGCCAAGAAGATGACGGTGCTGTATGCGCTCGCCCAAGCGCAGCTGTCGAAGCAGTACCACTATGACTTCAAGCTGCGTGCCCTCAAATCCGTGCTGGTTATGGCTGGCTCCCTCAAGCGAGGCGCTCCCGATTTGCAGGAGGAACTGGTGTTGATGCGGGCCCTAAGAGACATGAACATGCCCAAGTTCGTCAAGCAGGACGTGCCCCTGTTCCAGGGCCTCCTCAACGACCTCTTCCCCGGCCTCGACTGCCCAAGGGTCGGGTACCCCAAACTCAAGGCCGCCATCGAGGAGGTAAATCAGACTTAATCAAGACACGCCACATGCTGCCCTCTGCTTGTCTTTGCCATGTCTGTATTTGTTCCTCAGGATCTGATCAGCAAGGGGTTCAAGTCCAAGTACGAGCATTTATTCGACTTGCAGGTGGACAAGGTCATGCAGCTGTACGAGACCATGCTCACCAGACACACCACCATGATCGTCGGACCCACGGGCGGGGGGAAGACAGTCGTCATCGAGACACTGGCCGCCGCGCAGAAGATCGCCTTCGACGAGCCGACCAAGCTCTTTATCATCAACCCCAAGGCGCAAACCGTCAATGAACTCTATGGCGTGCTTGGTGAGCCATCTGCCACAACACAGAAAGCACATCCATCGATCATCCCCCCTGTCTTTGTATATGTATCCAGATCCGGCCACTCGCGATTGGACCGACGGTCTTCTGTCTAAGATCTTCCGCGAGATCAATCAGCCCCTCCCGTCCGGCAAGAAGGAGCGACGCTACATTGTCTACGACGGCGATGTCGACGCTGTCTGGGTCGAAAATATGAACACCGTGATGGACGACAACAAACTCCTCACACTCACCAACGGCGAGCGCATCCGCCTGCAAAGGCATGCCTCCATGCTGTTCGAGGTGTACGACCTCCAGTACGCGTCGCCAGCCACCATCTCCCGTTGCGGCATGGTCTACGTGGACTCACGGAACCTCGGCTATGGCCCGTACTATGACAAGTGGTGTCGGGACAAGAATAATGACAAACTCTACGAAGTGCTGGAGGAGCTCTACGAGAAGTACCTGCCCCTGTGCACCGCTCACGTCCTCGAGGGCCGCGATGGTGACGATATCGGCAACCCCCTTGTGCAGTCGCTGCCGCGCACCGATCTAAACATGGTCACGCAGCTGTGCATCCTTTTCGACGCCATGGTGCCCAACGAGAACATCATCTCCATGGAGCACGTCGAGAACATATTCATCTTCTGCCTCGTCTGGTCGGTCGGCGCATGTCTCGCCGACAACGAGCGGCCCAAATTCGACGAGTTCCTCAAGAAAGTCGCCAATCGGCTGCTGCCGAAACAGAGCCTGTATGAGACCATGTACGACATCAACCAGGGGCGATGGGTGCCGTGGGAGGAGAAGGTGCCCGAGTACAAACCACCTCCCGACGTGCAATTCACCAAGATCCTGGTGCCCACTGTCGACACGGTGCGGTACTCGTGGCTGCTGGAGCAGTTCATGACCAGGCAGCGGCCCACTCTTTTCGTCGGCGAGTCTGGCACAGCCAAGTCGGTCACCGTCATGAACTGGCTGGACGGCCTCGACCCTGAGACCGCACTGCAGCTCAACATCAACCTCTCGAGCCGCACCTCATCCATGGACCTACAGAAGACCATACAGGACAACGTCGACAAGCGGACGGGCCGTATATTTGGCCCGCCGTCAGGGAAGACACTCCGGATCTTCGTTGACGACTTGTCGATGCCAAAGGTCGGTCTTTTGCACACACATAGACAGTCACAGGGAGTCTGCTCGTTTTTGTGTTTTCAGATTGACACATACGGCACACAGCAGCCGCTGGCTCTGCTCAAGTTTGTGATTGAGCGGCAGCACATGTTCGAGAGAGGTGGTGACCTGGACAAGATCATTCTCAAGGACATCGAGTGGCTCGCGGCCATGAATCCACCAGGCGCTGGCCGCAACCGCGTCGATCCCCGAGTCGTGTCTCTGTTCGCCGCCATCCACATGAGCTTCCCCTCACAGAGCAGCATCGACCGTATCTACAAGACCATCCTCAACCACAAGTTCATGTCATTCAGCGAAGCGGTGCAGGAGGTGGCATCCAAACTCCCGCAGGCCACCCTCCAGCTGCAGGACAGCATCATCGAGGCGCTGCCCAGGACTCCCTCCAAGTTCCACTATGTCTTCAATTTGCGCGACTTGTCGCGTGTGTACCAGGGCGTGTGGCTGGCCGATCCGCAGGTGGTCAACGCCGGCACTACGCTCATCCGGCTGTGGCGCAACGAGTGTCTGCGGGTCTTTGAGGACCGCCTGATCACGCAGGACGACAAGGACTTTGTCGGCAAAAGACGCCTGCCAGACATCATCAAAGACACCTTCCCCAGTCAAGTGAGTCACTCAATCGGACAGTGCTGATGGCATGAGTGTGTGTACTGCGTGTACGTGCCTTTAGGCGGAGGAGGCGCTGGCCGATCCGCTCATCTGGGGTGACTTCCAGGATGCCCTCAACATCCTGCTGTCATCAGACAGCCCGTGGCAAGAGGTGCATGCATGGACCAATCACTCAATCATCTTGTCCTCCTTTTATACTCTTGTATTGTATGTGTGTCTCTTCCTGTCGATGTACACATATAGGTGCGGCTGTATCAGGACATGGGTGACTACGGAACGGTGCGCAAGATATTCAACGAGCTGCTGGAGAACTACAATGCCGAGAAGAGGCCGATGAATCTCGTGCTGTTCGAGGACGCCCTCTCCCACCTGGTCCGCATCCACCGCATCATCCGCATGCCGCAGGGCAACGCGCTGCTGGTCGGCACTGGCGGCTCGGGCCGACAAAGCCTCACAAAACTCGCCACATTCGCCGCAGGGTACACACAGGGGGTTTGACATACCGTGGTCCTTGCTTTCCTTTCTCTTCTTTGCCCATCCAGGTATACTCTGTCTGAGATCACGCTGTCGCGCGGCTACGGTGACACGGAGTTCCGCGACGACTTGAAGGCTCTGTACACAGAGGTGGTCTCCGCCCCTCGCACCTTCCTCTTCACTGACGCCCATGTGGTCGAGGAGGGGTTTCTCGAGTACCTCAACAACCTCCTCACTGTGGGCATGGTGCCGGCCTTGTTCGCTGAGGATGAGAAGGAGGGCCTCATCGGCAAGATCAGAAAGGAGGCTTCCGAGCAGGGCATCAGGGGAGACCGCATGTGGAACTTCTGTGTCTCCAAGGTCAAATGTGTTTTCCGATTCATCCTTGAAATATTGCAGCATCGTATACATTAGTTGTGTGTGCGTGTGTGTGCGCTGCAGGCCCGAGAGAACCTGCACCTAGTGCTGGCGATGTCTCCTGCCGGCAGCTCACTTCGCACTCGCTGCCGCAACTTCCCCGGTCTCGTGTCATGCACGTCCATCGACTGGTTCTTCCCGTGGCCTTCTGAGGCCCTGCACGCCGTCGCGAGCCATTTCCTACAGGTAGGCGCACGGACACCCGTTGCAGGCCGGGTACATATGCTCTCTGCTTCAGAACGAGTCGCTTCCCGACGAGAGTCGCGACGAGATTGTACAGCACTTTGTGATGGTCCATCTCAGCGTGACAGAGAAGTACAGTCCCGAGTTTGAGATGCAGCGCCGGCGTAAGAACTACGCAACGCCCAAGAATTACCTGGACTTCATCAACAACTACCGCAGCAAGCTGGCCGAGAATCGCAAGAACCTGGACGCCATGTCACAGCGGCTGGAGGGCGGGCTCACCAAGCTCATCCAGGCCGCAGAGGCAGTGGAGATCATGAGCAAGGAACTGGCGGAGAAGAAGGTGATCGTCGACGAGAACGCCAGGAAGGTCGAGGCGCTCATCCATGACATCAATGAGAAGAGCGAAAAGGCTAACAAGCGTCAAGAAGAGGCCACTGCTGCGGCCGAACAGATCGCCAGGGACAATGAGGTGACGGACAGAAGACGGAGAAACAACATAAGTAGCGACTTTTGCCTGCCTCTGTGTCTCTGGTGTAGATCATCACGAAAGAGAAGGCCGAGGCCGATGTGGCGTTGGCAGCGGCGATCCCGGCCCTCGAGATGGCCGCGCAGGCGCTAGAGAATCTTGACAAGAAGGACATTACGGAGATCAAGGCGTTCACGACCCCGCCCAAGCCCGTCATGTACGTGTGCATGTGTGTGGTGGTGCTCGTCACACCCAAGTCAGAGGGAGACGGGTGGAACGGGGCCAAGGCGATGCTGTCCGATGTCAACTTCATGAAGAGTCTCCTCGAATATCCAAAGGATGACATCACAGGTACATACTCAGACACGCACGCACTTCATTGCCACGTCCGTGTCGTCCACCAGACAAGCAGGTGAAGAAGATTAAGGATTACTTCTCCAAGGACCCCGAGTCGTTTGAGGGCCAAGCCATGAAGAAGATATCCGTCGCCGGCAACGGGCTGCTCACATGGGTCAAGGCTATGGTTCACTACCACGAGGTCGCCAGGACAGTGGAGCCCAAGCGCAAACTCGTCAGGGAGCTGCAGCAGAAAAAAGAGACGGCTGAACGCAACCTCGCCGCCATCCAGAAGGAGCTGGTTCAGCTGACCGAGCAGATCGAGAAGCTCACTGCCGACCAGGTGGAGCAGTCCGCCAAGCTCAAGGAGCTGCAAGACGAGGCGGCCACCATGGAGCGGCGCCTCACTGCTGCCAGCCACCTTATCGAGGGGCTGGGGTCCGAGCGGGTGCGGTGGACTGCAGACCTCCAGTCGCAGGCAGAGACCAAGAAGAAGCTCGTGGGCGACTGTCTGGTCGGCGCCGGCTTCCTCTCGTACACGGGGCCATTCTCGTTCGACTTCAGACACAGAATGGTCACAAACTGAACACTCCCCAGACATGGACGCGCAAATGGGCCCTGCGGTGCTTGATGCGTGCAGGTGGTCGACCACTGGTTGGGTGACGTGACTGACCGCAATATCCCCATGACGTCGCCCTTCAAGCTGGAAGACCTGCTGACGTCGGATGTGGAGGTGGCCCTGTGGGCAGGCCAGGGGCTGCCGTCAGATGAGCTCTCGGTGCAGAACGGCATCCTCACCACGAGGGCGTCGAGGTTTCCTCTGTGCATCGACCCACAGATGCAGGTAGCCATGCACAGAGAGACAAGGACGCGAAGGCATCCGTCACGTATGTCTCTTTATCTGTGTGTGTCAGGCTGTGCACTGGATCAAGTCAGCCCACGAGAAGAATGGTTTGGTGGTCAAGACCTTCAACGACGACTACGCCAAGCACCTTGAGCTGGCTATCCAGTACGGCAAGCCGTTCCTGTTCGAAGGCATCGACAACGAGCTCGACCCCATGATCGACCCTGTTCTCGAGAAGAGCGTCACCGTCGAGGGCGGACAGACCATGATTACACTCGGCGACAACCAGATCGAGTGGTCGGACAGCTTCCTGCTCTTCCTCACCACCAAATTGTCCAACCCCAGCTACTCGCCGGAGGTCATGGGCAAGGTGTCGATCATCAACTACACCGTGACCATGCAGGGACTGCAGGACCAGCTACTCAACGTCGTGGTGGGCTTCGAGAGGCCCGACCTCGAGAAGGAGAGGCAGGAGCTGATTCACCGGATGAGTGAGGACAAGCAGACGCTGAAGCAGCTGGAGGACGTTCTGCTTCGCGAGCTGGCTCAGTCGAAGGGCAGCATCTTGGACAACGAGGAGCTGATCGCGACGCTTCAGAACACCAAGGAGAAGGCAGTAGAGATCGCCAAGTCTCTAGAGGACGGAAAGGTCACCGCTGTAGAGATAGACAAGGTATGCACACACAACCAAAAGACATCGCACCCATGTCCAATCCCCATGTGTCTCGTTCATGTGTGCAGCTTCGTAGTGTGTACCAGCGCGTTGCCAAGCGTGGGTCGATCTTGTATTTCTCCATGGTCGGTCTTGCCAACATTTCTTTCATGTACGAGTACTCCCTCAACGCCTACCTGGGAGTCTTCGAGCGGTCACTCAGAGAGGCCAGACCCGATCGCATTGTCGACAACAGGCAAGCATCCACGGACGAGCAGCAAATCGGTGCGTCTGTCTGCTGCTGCTGTGTTGTAGGCTGAAGAACGTGACCGAGAAGCTGACACAGAATGTCTATGACTTCGTGTGCATGGGTATTTTCGAGAACCACAAGTTGATGTTCAGTTTCCAGATGACCACCATGATCATGGACGGGGAGGCCGAGCTCCAGCGCGACGAGCTCGACTTCTTCACCAAAGGCAATACATCACTCGAGCAGGTCCAGCCCAAATCGCCGGGGCTCGAGTGGTTCCCAGACGGAGGCTGGAAGGACCTGCAGCTACTCACCAAGCTAAAGGCCCCGTTCGAGACGCTCCTCAAAGATATCCAGGAAAGTGTGCAGGTCAGAAGAGAGAACCGTGCGTGTATGTTGGCACGGTGCATGTGTGAAGGGTGCATGATATACTCAGGTGTGGAAGGATTGGTACGATTTGGAGCGTCCCGAGGACGAGCCAATCCCCATGGGCTACTCGGAGAGCCTGTCTATGTTCCAGAAGATGCTCGTCATCCGCTGCTTCAGAACGGACAGGGTCTACAACGCGATCAAGAACTTTGTCATTTGGCGGCTGCAGGACTACTACGTCCAGCCACCCAGCCTTCAGTGAGGCATTGCACGCATGCACAGGCATACACGCTGATGTGTCTCATCCATGACGGCAGGTACGACAAGATCTTCGCGCAGTCATCAGAGAATAGCCCGGTCGTGTTCATCCTGTCTCCGGGCGCCGACCCCCAGAGCGACGTGCAGAAGCTCGGCGAACACCTTGGCTTCTCGGGCACCAAGTTCAAGTTCCTGGCGCTTGGTCAGGGGATGGGTCAACAGGCGGCCAACTACATCGAGACGGGCTACCAGAGAGGCCACTGGGTCATGTTGCAGAACTGCCACCTGCTGGCCTCATGGCTCAAGACCCTCGAGAAGATACTCGAGGGCATGCACAAGCCGCACAAGGACTTCAGACTATGGCTCACGACCCTCCCGACCGACGCCTTCCCACTGGGCATTCTTCAGCGCTCGCTGAAGGTGGTCACGGAGCCGCCGGACGGCCTCAAGCTGAACGTCAAGGGCTCCTACACTAAGCTGTCTGACGAGGATCTGGACGAGTGCCCACACCCGGCGTATCGGTCGCTGGTGTGGGTGGTGGCATTCTTCCACGCTGTGGTGCAGGAGCGGCGAAAGTACGGCAAGATCGGGTGGAACGTGAGCTACGACTTCAACGAGAGCGACTTCAGGATATCGATACGGCTGCTCAGCATGTACCTCGGCAAGGCATTCGACAACGACGACCCCGTCCCATGGAGCTCACTCAAGTACATCCACCACACGGGAGCCGGAGAGACACCCACGTGTCTGTTTGTGTGTAGGTATCTGATTGGCGAGGCCATGTACGGTGGTCGTGTGACTGACGACTTCGACCGTCGTGTGCTGGTCACGTATTTGAGCGAGTACATGGGCGATTTCCTGTTCGACGAGGACCAGCCCTTTTTCTTTAGCCAATCAGGATTCGACTACCAGGTCCCCAACCCAGGACCGCTCGACGTCTACCAAAACTACATCAAGGTAGCTGAGACATCCACCCACCTCCTACACAGAGACACGGACAATGCCTCCATCCCTGTAATGTGCAGGAGCTGCCTCTGATCAATTCGCCAGAGGTGTTCGGGTTGCATCCCAACGCGGAGATCGGTTACTTCACCGACAGCGCCAAGCGGCTGTGGCACGGGCTCATCACTATGCAGACGTCGGAGGGTGCCGTGTCGGGCGGGGTCAACCGCGACGAGTACATCAAGAAGGTGGCGACCGACATTGAGGACAAACTGCCCAAGGAGGAGCTCAAATTCGTCAAGGACGACGTCCCGACGCCGTCAGAAGTGGTCCTCATGCAGGTAAGTCGGCCGATCTATCCGTGCTCGCACAGACAAGGAGACAGAGAGAGAGTCTTGATTGTAAGGGGTCTCTCTCTGTAGGAGATCGAGCGCTTCAATGCTCTGGTCAGTCGCATGGGGCTCATGCTGGCCGACCTGAAGCGGGCCCTCAAGGGAGAGATCGGCATATCAGCCGAGCTTGACGAAATGGGCAACTCACTCTTCAACGGCTTCCTGCCCCCTGCGTGGGCCCGTCTGGCGCCGGCGACGCTCAAGCCGCTGGGGTCATGGATGGAGCACTTCACGCGTCGGTACAAGCAGTACGTCGATTGGGCGACTCAGGGCGAGCCGAGCGTGTTTTGGATGTCGGGTTTCCACATCCCCGACTCGCTGCTGACGGCCCTGGTGCAGGCCACGTGCCGCAAGAAGGGGTGGGCCCTCGACAAATCCACCCTCTACACCGTCGTGACCAAGTTCACGGACCGCAGCCAGGTCACCAAGCGGCTGGAGCACGGCACATACATCGAGGGGCTCTACCTAGAGGTGAGATGGGCAAGGCTAGGCAGGGCAAACGAAAAAGAGAGAGCCATGTGTGTGTGTGTGTGTTAAGGGTGCCCGCTGGGATATGGAGAAGGGGTGTCTCACCCGACAAAACCCCAAGGAGCTCGTCCAGGAGATGCCACTCATACAGGTAGGGGACCACCCCTGAGATTAGACACGCACACATTGCCTCCGTCATGTGTGGAATGCAGATTGTGCCGATCGAGGCAAATCGTTTGAAGCTGCGTGACTCGTTGACCACCCCCGTGTACGTCACGCAGGACCGCCGCAACGCCATGGGTGTGGGCTGGGTGTTCGACGCCAACCTGCACACAAAGGAGCACCCCAGCCTCTGGGTGCTGCAGGGGGTGGCACTCTGCCTCAACACAGACATCTGACTTGTTTCTGCTCTGCTCTGCTCTTCCGCTGGACTGTTCTCTCTTGGGGCAAGGGGGGAACCTGAGGGGCTCCTTAGCTGGGTTGTTATGGCCCCTCTGTTTTGGCTCACTGCTCTGGTGGTCTTGTGGTTTTGGGTTTCGGTCTCTGCCTCTCTGCTGTGCCTGGCCGGCGGCTGTTGGCTGCTGACTGTACATATATTGCCAGCCAGTGGGCATCCATCGCATGCTTTGCCTCAGGCATTCATGCAGGCGGGAGGGGGGGTTGCTCTCGTGGGGCACGTCCATACGCACGTATGTGAGGGTTGCTCGTCCGATTTGATTGATGCGAGTGGGTACATGTCCACGGGTGCATCGTTCAGGGTATTGGGTGTTTATCAGTCTCACCAACACGTGCAATGCCATGCATTTATGTATGTATTTGTCACACACCATGCAGGAAGACAGACACTAGCCAGTCACCTGGCTTAGGCACGCACATGGACGGACAGGCGAACTTCTCATGCATCCACCGTGCCAATGCACACTATACCATTGATTGATGCTGACCGTCCATAGCAATCGCTGTGCTCGACACGCTGCGCAACCCACGCTTCCCCGTCCCCTCCCACTTATAGATACGCCCCATTCCCCTCCTGTCCGCCCGTCAAGAGCGGCTCCTCAGGTGCCATCTCGTCCGCCCCTTGTAAGGGCGATTCGTCGTCATAGCCTGTGTCTGTGGGTGTGTCGGTCTTCTTCCCGGCGCCCGATGGGCCGACGAAGGCCATGATGGACACAAACACCAGGATGAACACCCCCATGCCCAGAGCAACCAGTTGTGCAGGCACCTGAACGCGCCACAGATACACCAGATGAGATGCCACTGGCTGCATCTCACTTACGGATGCTTTCTTGTCCTGCAATTGCCCGATGAAGCAGACTCCCAGCCAGACGGTGAAGAGCGTCGTGAAGATGAGGATGGACACGTTGGCGCGCGTGTCGCTGCTGCCGGCAGGGGAAGCCTTGGGGATGACCACCAGCGCCACAAACACCAAAACAAAGACACCCAGCAGTATGACAGTGACGGCGCCATACAAGCTGATGCCAAAAAGGCCCATTCGAGCGATGCCAGGAAGGGCCATTTGACGTCGAAAGGACGCACCCACCGGGTTTACGATTCTTTCGTAAATACTGAGCAGAACGCACTGTGGGTGGGTGTGTTTACATGGGATGAGTAGAACGCTCTTGTCCCTGTCCATGCCATCGTCCGCTGCAGCCAAAGGGGTGCCGTCACTCGATGATGCTGATCGATATGAGATGATCAACCGGATGGACAGAGACAGAGACAAAGACAGAGAGAGGGGGAGGGAGGGGGAGGGAGAGGGAGGAGCAATGAATGACACTCAAGTGATGGGTCGGATGAGTAAGCAGAGGTCTGGCTAGCTAGCAGTTCGGTCGGGTTAGATTGTGTGTGTGCGTGTGGTGGGAGTAGGTGTGTGTGGTCTGAAGGGAGGGGGTGTGAGAGCACTCAAATGAATGTCACATCACGCGTATTATTTGAATGAATCTATGTCAGTCAGTTGGACGTACACACAGTCAGGACACATCAGACACAGTGGTACACCGTCCCTCCGTTGATGTCGTCGGCATCCCATGCGAGTGCGGTCATCTATCTAAGTTTCACTCACACACTCTCATACAGTCAGCAGATTAGTCCGCACGCATTGATAAGGGAAGAGATGACATCCATTCCATTCCATTCCATTCCATCAATGAATGCCCTCAGCCACTTCCACTCAACCCATCACACTCAGCCCCCCTCAACTACACACACATATATCTGTCCTTCATCCCCTCATCCCACCACCCTCCCTCTGTTGATGACGTCATTCTCGAGGTTGAACTGCTGCAGGACGGCACGTCAGCGGGGCATCGACACGGGGTAGCGGTCGGCTAGCGGATGAGGCCGATTGGCAGCAGATGGCTCGGTCGTGTGCAGATAGATGTACCCGCCATACACCGACAGATGAGCAGCGACGACCTCATCGGGTCGGAAGCCGCTCACAAGCACATAACGACAGTCAGCTGGGTTGGCATTCAGATTGCCCCGGTCGTAGCGGTAGTCCACAGCGATGCCCCCCTGCTGCTCACTGATGGCTACTGTCAGCAAAGGGCGATAGCGGGGGTCATTTTGGTTGATGCGAGCCTGCAGCACCCACCTGACGCCCACCCCCTCCTCATAGCCCCATTCGATGAACAGCGATTCCACCAGGGATGACGAGAAGGAGCGGTAGAGACAGGTGTCATGGCGGATGACGGGATCGGTCGTCTGGTAGCCGTCAGTGTAGTCATGATTGACGGGCAGCTCACTCAACGGCACCACACGGAACGACACATTGCCGATCCGATAGGCACCGTTGCCGGCCTGCTGCACCGCCAGGCTCTGTCCCCTGTATGTGAGCATGTGGCCGAAGAGGCGGTAGATGGCCATGGCGAGCGGCAGCTGATGGAAGGCCGTCTTGCTGGGGAGATTGGCCATCAGCCACTGAGCCGACAGCACCAGCGGCAGCCCACTGGCCGGTGTCAGCCGATAGATGGCGGCCAGGCGGATGAAAACCACACCGACGAGACGCCAATCCTGGCTGCTGCCCTGCTCCAGCACATAGGCCACCCCCAGCACATAGGTGAATGAGAGGGGGGCCCGTGCGGTCGATGTCGATGAGGCCGGTGAGTGTCAGGCGGGCAAGGGACCCGTCGATGCGCTCCACCAGCACACCAGCCGTCACGAGAGCCGACTTCGCCCGGCAGGTGGCTCGCACACAGACGACCTCATGGACGAGGAGGGAGGGGAGAATACGCCGACGCCACAGCTCATCGGGAACCGCATCAGACATCGCCACTCGTCAATCAGCACATGGCCACCGCCTGCCACATAGCACACCGGACACTGTCGACGATGGAGAGGGCGACCACCACACGCCCACGCCACGTGCCGTGGAAGGGCGGCTGCTCTGCTCACCTCAAACGATATCAGACGCCCGGCACCAGCAGGCAGGCGTGACAAACGAATGGCTCTGCAGACACACAGCAGCACAGGCAGCACGTGTGTGTGTCAAAGCATCAAAGAGATTGATCTGCCGTTTTGCCTCACACACCCTGTCGGTCAGCGCCTTCCCGTGAGTCACTCCTTGGCCACCCAGAAGAGAAGGACTCACTCTCAAAGCGATGATCTGCGACTGAGTGACAGAACCTGACAGAATTAAGCACACAGAAACAGCATGTACTGTCACCTTTGATGCCCTCCGCCCCGCCTGCCGGCCTTCTCGCACCTCAACGGGTCAGATCAGCGCACTCACAGATGACGGCGGCGGCAGCTGAACTGATCGACAGCATCTCGACAGCAGCTGACACGCCAGACACACATCCGCCAAAGCCGCGCTGTCATCGAAATGCGCCGAGAGAGCGGTTTGCCGAGGATTGCGAGTCAAAGTGGATTGCTGTTGACTGACATCGGCGATTTTGAAGGCTTCTGGTCGCTTATCGAAGGTGAGAGGACAGGGAGCGGCGCAAAGGACGACTGGCAATGCTTCACACAGCCGCTGCTTGTGTGGCTGCTCAGATCTCCACTGGTTCTCCAGTCTGTGCGTCGCTCCTCGTTCCTTCCTTTCCGCTGAGGTGCTGGTGGCCATCGATTGGCGGCGGTCGGCGGCTAACTCGTCATCGCATCGACTGACTGACATCGGTTAGGCAAAGCGGCGGGTCAGTCAGTCTGGGCGGGTGCTGCATGACGCCTGTGCTGTGTGTCTGCAGACTCACTCATTCACCACGGCTCATTCCCCCCGCCTCTCTGCTGTGACGGCGTCTGTCTGAGGTGAGCAGAGCATCCCGCCCTCCCATGGCACTCGTCTGACTGACTGACTGCCTGCCATTCACTCGTTTGTGTGTCCTTCCTCTTTTGATTCATTCAGATCTCTCACTCACCGATGGCGTCGTCGTCGTCGCATCAGATGCCCCCCTCCACTCCCCAGCCCCCCGCCGCCCCTCCGGCAGTTCCCTCTCTGCCCGACCTTGCCATCACCAGGGCGGCAGACATGGCCATGTCACCCCACCCCGACAGACGCGCCAAACTTCGTCAGTGCATCGTCAGATTGCCGCAGGCCGAGGCCAGCACCGCGCTCACACTCGTCGAGCAGCGCATAGAGGAGGCCGTCGGTCGTCTGGGGCTCGACGACGTCCTGGTCTTCGACGTCGGTGGTCTTGAGGACGGCTTGAGGATGGTGCATCTGCTGGAGCAGGGCAGTGGCGGCGAGTGGCGGGAGATGGGGCGGTTCATTCGGCTGGCCGCCATATATGGGCTCACCCCCAATGCCACTCTGCCCCTGCGGCTGTCGGCTGATGCACTGCCCTCCCGAACAGCCTTCCACCAGCTGCCGCTCGCCATGACCCTCTACAAGACCATCGGCCATATGCTCACCCACAACGGACAGAGCCTGGCGGTGCAGCAAGCCGACAACAAAGGTGCCTATCGGATCGGCAATGTGTCGTTCCGTGTGGTGCCGTTGGGTGACCTGCCGGCCGGCCATAGCTACACCGACAGCTACAAGCGGACTGATCCCGTCATCCGCGAGACGAGCGATTCCGTCATCCGATCGGACTTCTGGCTCTACCGCTCCTTCTCGTCATTCCTCCTGAGCGCGCTATTCACGTGGTGGCACCATGAGGAGGGGGTGGGCCGCGGGCTCGTGCTGGATGCTCCCATCGCTCTCATCGGCCTTCCCTTCGCTCCCACCCGTGATGACCCCCGCTGTCGCCGTCTGCGGACAGAGGCAATCAGCGAGCAGCAGGGGGGCGTCACTGTGGACTACCGCTGCGACCGCGGCAACGTGCATCATGCCAACCCAGCCGACTATCGTGAAGTGGTTGTGAGCGGCTTCCGGCCAGGTGAGACCGTCGCTGCCTATTTGTGTGAGGCAGGGGGCGAGATCAGTCTGTGGACGACCGAGCGGTCTGTTGGCGATCGGTCTCAGCCGCTCGACGTCCGCTTCCCCACATCGATGCCCCGCTGGCGTGCCGTGCTGAGGCACTTCAGCCTCGAGCATGACGTCATCAACAGAGGGAGGGTGGTGGGATGAGGGGATGAAGGACAGATATATGTGTGTGGTGGGAGGGGGGCTGACTGTTTTGATTGGTGAAGAGCCTGATCGCATTCACGGAAAGCATGCGGTGGATGTCTTCTTTGCTTTTATGAGCACATGGACACACGCGAATTCACCTGCTGACTGTGCATGAGTGAGTGTATGCGAATGGATGAGTGGCCACTGGCCATGATGACAAAGACAGAGAGAGGGGGAGGGAGAGAGAGGGGCCGAATGAGTAGACAGAATGCTGGTGTAGCTGCCGGTTTTCGGTCCGGCTAGATTGTTTGTGTGTGGTGGGGGTAGGTGTGTGTGTGTGTCTGAGTGAGGGGGGTGTTGTAAGGGTCGGATCGATTCCTCGTAAATACTGGAGGTTGATCGTGGAAATCGTGTCAAGTATGTGGGACATAACGAATCACTGACAAAGGGCCGCAGTGTTGGCGGCCGGCTCATGTGTTCACGAATTGAGCACCAGTAGGCAGACAGGTACAAACCAATAAGGCGTGCGTGCATTTCAAGGCACCAATGGCCTGCCTGATCTGGTGCAGAAATGACTGACATCACGTATATATCATGACCCATGACCCATGAATATTGGACTATTCTCACACACACGGAAAGAGACATGACGAGAAAACTTCCCTCCCTTCTTCACGGCCACGCAGACGCGATGCGAAATCCGCCCATGTTGTCACATGACGCGCCCCCACCCACGCACACGCAACCAACAGACACGCAACACGCATACACAATACACATACTGTGTCCATCACCAATATGGTCATGTCAGGTAGTCTGTCTGCCCCTTCCCTTTCTCTTCGTCTCCCCCTGCCCCCTCCCCGCCCTCGCCCCCATGTGTGCCGTTCATATGCAGCTCCCATACTGGCATCAACGGCCGCTCCTTCGACGGCCGCCTGTCCACCACGGGCGGCGAGTCTTTGTGGTCTGGGATGGATGTCGGCCGTGGTATTGCCTTGCTGTGGCTGCCTTCGTGTGTGTCGAATGGGTGTGGGTCGTGGGTAGGGCTTTCGAGCTCGACGTAGCGCGGCCCTCGCCGGGTACTGCCGGCGTTGTTGGATGCCGACACTGACGGACAACCATGCACACAGAGGTTGGTGTTTACCTCTCGCGGCGTGTGTGCCCCCTCTCCCTATTTACCCGTTGGGAAGTCGACTGGCGGCAAATTCCCTCCCCGGGAAGTCTGCAACCACCAAACGCGCCAAACAAACACCACGCTCTCCGCTCGCCCACGAGCCCGATCTTTCTGTCCCATACATACCTTTCTGACGAAAGCAAGCGTCGCCCCAGCCCCCAGGAAGCCTCCCACAATTGCACACGCCACACAGAGCAGCAGCCACAGACCCAACGTCCATGGGAAGGGGTGCTGCGGGGGGATGTCGGCCGAGGCAAGGGGCTCGTCCATGTCGGACACGCCGACGTTTCTGTTGGTGTGTGATGAGTACTCGGGAGGGGACAGGGGTGGGGGCGGGGCTATGGGGCTTGTGTCTTGTTGTGTGGGGGGTTCGGTCGGGTCGCAATCGGGACCGTCCTTGGCGAATGACGTCACGGCATCGAAGTGGTCATACTGAGGAAACAGACAGAGAGAAAGATTGACGTGTTTCCCTTGTATTGCGTCTACGTACCGAGCACAGGTCTTGTTGTGGGTCGCATCCCTTGATCATGGACGTGATGACCTCGCCGTTATAGATGAGGCGGAAGTAGGCCTCACGGCTGTCGGCACCAACAGTATACAGCTGCATCGATCGCATCAGTCAGCACACGACAGATACACCAATATATCCATGACGTGGCTGGCTCATGCTTCGCGCCTCTCACCTCCAGTATGATGATGGATGCGTAGCTGGGCCACTTGCCGTCCCAGGCGCCCATGGCAGCCAATACTGGCATCAGCGTCTGCACACACACACACGGCACATCATGTGTAAGTGCAGGTGCTTTGCTCATTTCCGGTCTGTCTGACCGTGTCATGTCCGCTCCACAAGGCAATGTGCGGGGCCGTTGGCGGCGATCGCTCTCCGCCGCTCTTCCGCTGTGCTTCTGACAGGCCCTGCATAACACACACACATGAGATGAGTGCGATGGGCGCCATTCACTGCGTGGTGACTTGCTGACCTTTGCGGCCTTCTGCCTCATGTCGTGTATGACTGGTGTGGCAGCGAGCTTCGAGTAGGCGGCGTCGTTGGCGCTGAAGCGGCACGCGGCCTCCTCTTTCTCCACCTGGCCCACGTAACGCGCAAACAAGCTGTCAGCCGACCACTCGAGACCTACACACTCCCATCAAATGCGTTCGTATGGTGGCTTTCCTTCTGTCTGCATGCAGCCCACTGACCTCGAGGCACTCGGTGCTCGGTGCATGTGGCCGTGAAGAGACAGTCCATCAGGTGGTGCGAAAAATGGTAGTTCGGCCCGCCGATGTCGGGGATCTCACGCAGTGACTCGAGGACGGCTTTCTGCTCGTCTGAGTCGCGCCACTGTTTGCAGGGCTCGCTGTTGCGGGCGGCGTGCTTGAGCTCCTTCAAACGAGGACACACATCTGTGGGGAATTCATGCAGGCAGGCAGGCAGAAAGTCTGTGTGTGTTTCTTCGTTTGTCTGTGCGCGTGAGTGACTGCCTGCCTCACCATCGTTTGGGTACATGGTGTCCAATCTGTAGTCGCCCTGCAACACACACACACACACAACACGTGGTGCAAGCAGCCTAGGGCTGTCATCGTCTCCCCCTACCGTCCTCTCACCGTGTGCACATGGAGCACCGGATGGTCGCTCACAATTTCCCCTGCCTCCTGCTCGGTCTCGCCCTCCCGACCCTTCAGAAAATAAGTCAGCAGCGTCGCCCCACTCAGCAGCGTCCGCTGCACGTCGTCCGACCGGAAGTACACACGGATGCCGCCAGACCCCTGCTGCTCCCGCTGCATCCGCACCAGCGGCAGGAAGGACAGCGACGCGTTGCTGCCGCTCTCGGCGCTCAGGTATGCCTGCCGCACCAGCTTGCCCAGCTGTGCGTGCTGGGCCATGCCCTCCTCGATCAGCTGCCCCTCCTGGCAGGTACCGCCAAGCACATTGGGGTAGCTGTCGTACACCTTTGGGAACAGAAACGTCTGCTGCTCGGTGACCGTGGGCATGTCCTGCATTTCCAGGCCACGTGTCTGCGCGTGGCCCCGCTCGGTGGCCGTGTCGTTTGGTAATGAGGGTGGGAGGACGGATGCGAGCGTGACGGGCTGCTGGCTGGGGATGAATGACTGTCCCCTGATGCCCATGGTGAGGGAGCAGTTCCAGCGGATGTCATAGTTGTCCCAGCAAAACGAGGAGTGGTCGGGCGTCCGCGCTCCGTGACGAATCACCATCTGGCAAGGCAGACAAGCACAAGCATGGCAACCACACCTTGCGATGTGTCCGCATGATCTGGCTGGCCTGGCTGTTCTTTCTTGCCTGTATCTGCGCCAGCTGCGGGCTCTTAGCCATCGCCTCGGCGCTCAGCGGCGGGACGGCCCGCGTGCGTCGGACATCTTTGGAGCAGTAGTAGGGGAACTTGTCGCCGCGCCCTGTGGCCGCGGCTGCTGACGCGCCCGTCCGGCGTAGATGAGAGCCATCCAGTTTGAGTGTCCCACGAGCCGCTGTCGACACAGCGCAAAGCAATAAGAGCAAAATTGTCGCCATTTGTGGTCGGCAAGGCGTTCCCGGGCGACGTGCTGGGGCGTTGCTTCTTTCCTGCCTCATTCGCTTTGTAGCGCTACAAGCTCGCGCTGGGTCGTAGCTCGCATTCCGGAGTGATTGAATGCTTAGGACATTTCGTGAAACCGCTCTCTCGGGGAGCGATGCGTTGGAACGACATTCAACACATGCGTCTGCCACAGTGTGCGGATGCCGCTGCTTTGCCCCGATAGATGTTCACGTCAGTCAGTCACATTGCTCCGATAGATGTTCACGGAACGTAAGTCAGTGACGCCCGTTCTTATGTATGTACAGAGAGAGATCTGATAGAGAGGGAGGGGCTCGGCAGACAGACAGACAGGCAGGCAGTCAGACTCTCATCGAGCAACAGCCACACATGACGTGGATGAATGCAGACACTGAGGGAGAGAGACGTATACGCATCCATCCATCCATCCATCATCGTACACATCGATACGTCAACCATGCACGTACACAGCTGATCGGTATACAGAAAAGATACAATGGCATCCATACATGCAGTGTGATGCAATGCGATGAATGTGTGCTCAAATAAAAGCCATCAAGGCTGCCTCTGAATCACATGGACACACAGCAGTGAGGGGTCAAAGAGCCATAAAGGCCGCCTCTGCAGGACACGAACCGAGAGCAACAAAACTCTTAAATCCATCACTGGCCCCATCCCTCCCCCTCCTGTCTCTCTGCCATGATATCCTGCCGGCCGCTGACACACGTATTCCGACGCCTCACAGCCCCAGCACCAGCACCCCCCCTCCACACACCCACAGTGGGTCGATCTGTTATCACGAGAATATGGCGTTGGTCCAGTCGGTGAAGGCCTGCCGACACAGGGGGCACTCGGGCGGCTGCAGATTCTGCGCACATTGCTGGCAGATGCAGAAGTGGCCACACGGCTGCAGCACCACCGACCTCTCCCTCTCCTGGCAGATTTGGCAGTCGGTACGCTCCTCCATCTGGCGCTGCATTTCCTGCTGCATCTCTTGCCGCAGCTCGGTCACCAGGGCAGACGATGCACTCCCTGTGCGGTCACCAGGGCCGCTCCCGTACGACTCATCGCCAGGCCTCCCACTCCCAGCAGATCCCTCCTCTGTCGGTCTGTCACTCATATACACGTGCTGCTGCCTCGGTTGCTCCTGCTGGCTGGCATCTCCTCTGTGGTCGGGGCTGTTGCTGTCTGCCGTCGGGCTGTCGGCGGAGAGCTCCTGAAGCAAAGCAAAGAAAGATCTTTCTGACATCATGTCACACACAAGGCAAGCACTGCCAGCAAATCAGGACCCAACCTCGCCGCCTCTCTCGGCTCACACAAAGAGAACGGTTTCACGGAGGGAATGCGAGCTTTTGTGAAGTAGCGTTCATTCGCGAGGAAGCAACCTCACCCCCACCTGCGGATCAATCGGCAGAACGCGTGAAGCAGTCGGCAGGTGAATCAGTGGTGTGGTGTCACTTGTCGCCGGCATGAATAGAGGTGGGCGTGGCGGCGGCGGCGGCGGCGGTGCTCGAGGAAGAGGGCGAGGCAGAGGCGGTCCCATCACACCAGCGCAACAGCTGGCATGGGAACTCGGCAAGGAAAAGAGAGGTGCACATAGCAACACGGCATTGATTCATTGTTTCACTTGTGTGGCTCATGTGGACGCTTGCATTCTGTGTGGTGCCTGCCACAGGTCCGATATGCGAGGAGCCTGCTGTGTATCCCGACAACCCCCGTCTGCCCGCGCCTCTGTCCGCCTCGAGCCTCACCGATGAGGACAAGCGCCTCATCGAGCTCAACCGCTCACTCGTCAACTTCTACATGAACGCCCCGTGCTACCACCTCAAGCACAAGCAGCCCAAGCCAGAGATCCAGACCTACTCAAACCGATTCGCCCCTCAGGCCAGCAGCGCAGACAGCGTCATGGAGCAGCTCGTGAGTGCAGTTGGCAGGGAGTATTTCCCAGAGGAGTGTCTGACGCGGCACTATGTGCCGCCGGCGAGGCGGCGAGAGGCGATGCGGCGGAAGCGGCAGATGGATCTCCAGAGGAAGATTGCGGAGGAACAGCTCGACCAGGCGGGCAGCAGGAGGGGCAGCGCTTCCAAGGAGGGAGAGCCGGCAGAGGGCGAACTCAGAGACGGTCAGTCAGTCAGTCAGTCACTGACACGACATGGCAGCACGGGAAAATGTTGACATCGAACACGTGTGTGTGTGTGTGTGTGTGTGTATGTGTGTGTATGTGTGTGTGCGTGTATTGCTTCAGATGAGGACATGTCACCGTCTCGGTATGTAGCCGAGGAGGAGGCGGGGTACGGCGACCAGGACTACCAGCGGGACATCCATGGGGACGTGGAGGATGGCCAAGACGATCAGGATGACATGGACCGAGACGAGGGGGCAAACGATGCTGAATACTGACGCACCGACAAGCTGGCCTGGCTGACACTATGCGATGTGATCTGACTTGACGGACTGCTTTGTTTGTCTCGTACTCAGTGAGTGCGTGTGTGCATCGGATTGACGTGCCTTGACCTCTATTCGACCGACTGAGACCGGTGCAATTGATTGACCCGATGCATTCATTGGGCAGTTCATCGTTTCGTCCAACCCACCCCACCAGTGCCCCCTGTATTGTTGCACTGTATATACACACAGGACACTGAGCAAATGAGCTCTCACACACGGAAAAAGACGTACACACAACCACAGAGCTGCGCTACTGAACGCGCTGCCAGCCGCAAATGGCTCACTCATCGACGCATGACTCCGGACCACACCTACGGTCCCGCCATCACGAGTATACACACCACTAAACAGCCTGCTTCCGTGGCTCGGTATCATCAACCAGCGCCCGTGCATAGCACCACAGGCACACCATGCCCACGTTGTGACCAAAGAAAGACACAGGGATTGCCGACGCAGACACAATCCCACACCACCCAAACTCGAGAAAAATAGCAGATCCAAGTACAGCGATACACAACAGAGCGGCTCCCAGCCACCTCTTCGCCTGCAGCAAAAAAGACACCATTGGACAGAGGTCTTTGCTGTTATTGTAGGCTGCTTACGTGCGATGGAACTGGTGACAGGCCGCACACGAGGTCTCGCAGAAGCACACAGACGACCGACACCGACGTGACGCCAAGCCACAAAATCTCGTTCGCAAATGGCCGCTGCGACTCGCCGATGGCTATCAACACGGCGATGAAAGCCAGATGCACCAGCCTCAGCAGCAGCCAGGGACCTTTCCGGCCGCCATTGCCTCTTGGTGTGTATGTGAGTGAGGCGAAGACAAAGGAGGAGCTGCTGCAGGCTGTCGCCGTGACATCGAGAATCATCATCTGCTTCAGCCAAAAAGGGCTCATCGTGTGGGGCAGGCAGTGGGCAAAGAGAGAAGCGACGCACATGACGGCGTAGCACAGGTGGGAGATGGCCCAGTAATAGATACAGTCAAGGCTCCTCCCTGCCACACAAACACACACCTGAGACCACAACACCTCCTCCAGCCTCTGTGACTCGCCTCACCTGTCGAGAAGAGATCCGACGCACAACAGAGCGGCACCACGACACCCGACAAGACAACGGGCAGCAGCAGGGGCCACTCAATCCTCACGCCATTGTCCAAACGCAGCACGGGCACGGAGCAGGAGGCGCCTACGACCGCCTCCACCTTCAGCCCGAGCCGTCGCTCCACCACCCACGCGACGCCGTCTGGGAAGAATAGTGAGAAGATCCGCATCGCCATTTCATTCCTGCAGTCGATGTGTGAAGAGGCGGAAAGCTCCTGAAAGCTCCTCATCGAAGCTCCTTGGGCGAGCTTTGGGTCATTTCGATGCGATCGAACTCATTGTCCGCGTTTCTCCGTGAAGAGTTCGCACGTCGTCCGCGCCTTGCCGAGAGGCATATCGAATCATCACTTGAAGTGCATGCATGCAAACCAAGGTCAAGTGAGGACCAAGCACCAAGTGCTCCGTGCTCCGGGGTGGGTACATTTGACTACTACTCCCTCTCTCCCTATTTCTCAGGTAGCTAGTGCCTACCCCCTTTGCCCCTCTATGTGTGCATCCATGCCCCTCACCCGTGCTATGAACAAATCAGCTCTCTCACATCGAAAAACACGCCCCTCCTGCATAGTCTCTGATTGCTCGTCAGCACTGACTGACAAGCGCATGTTTGAGTAAGTAGAGCGACGGCATACACACGTCATGTCATGTCATGTGGATCACACTGATGGATCGTCCGCTCTGTCAATAATTAATATATGTGTACACACCACGCGCTGCACTGTGAGGGCACGCATACAGACCAATCTGTGTAGTCACGCATACAGTGGGTAGATTGACTACTGCCTCTCTCCCTATGTCACAGCTAGCTAGTGCCTACCCGCCCTTTGCCCCTTTATGTGTGCAGCCATGCAGCGCCTCCGCGTGGTAGTCGATGAGCATCCGCGCATAGCACCATAGGCACATCATGCCCACGTTGTGGCCGAAGAAGCCCAGAGGCATCGCCGCTTGCGACACGATCCCACACCGGTGCCCAAACACCCCCAGTAGCATCAAACTGCTGAATGTGAACACGCTCAACAGAGCCAACACCAACCACTTCCGCGTCTGCAGGAAACATGAAACCAAGGACAAAACGTCGTAATCGTGCCCGCCCCTTTCCTCCTGCACCCCTTGCTCACGTGAGACAGGACCGGTGAGAGGGCACAGATGACGTCCCTGGTGTAGACGAATATCACCGACACAGATGTGACGCCGATCCACAGAAACTCTCGCGTGAAGGGACGCTGCGATTCGCCGATGGCTATGAACACGCCGAAGAGGGCAAGGTGCACCAGCCTCAGCAGCAGGTAGGGGCCCTTCCGACCGCCATTGGCGCGACGGCGGTATGTGATTGAGGCGAAGATGAAGGAGGAGCTGCTGCAGGCTGTGGCCGTGACGTCTACAATGGTCATCTGCTCCACCCAGAAGTCGCTGATCGTGTCGTCCAGGCAGTGGACGAAGATGGCCGACGCATTCATGACGGCATAGCAGAGGTGGGAAGTGGCCCAGTAGTGCACAAAGTCGCCGTGCCTGGTGGCCATCAGCTGCCTGCCTGGTGCCATGACCAATGCCACGTCACACACACAACCAACACACACATGACAGACGGACCGACGGGCTCTCCGGACATTCTGTCTTTGTGACTCGCTCACCTTTCGAGAAGAGGTCACAAGCCAGGAAGAGTGATATAATCACACCGGAAACGACGACAGGCATGAGCAGAGGCCAGTCAACCTTGGCGCCATCTCCCAGCTGCAGCACGGGCAGTGGGCACGAGTCGTCGACGACGGCTTGTGGGTCCAGACCGATCCGCTTGACCGTCCATTTGAAGAGATCTGGGAAGAACGTCGACAAGATACGCACCGCCATCTCCGCTCGTCAGCAGTCACTCGATGAGGGCAGGTAGATGTCGGGAGAGCAGTCGAGGTGGCTGCCTGGCCGAAGCCTTTCGTTCGTCCGAGTCAGAGATATAGATCAGGCTGAGAGGAGAAGTGAGAGGAAGGGCGAGAACGGATCTTCCGTGCCTCGTAGATCTGCGCCCGTGTATCATTCTTGCTCTAACTGTTCAAGTGTTGCGAAAAGATTGAGGGATTGAGGAACCAAGTACTGTCCGCACTCGGCTCTCCAATGTCCAATCTTAGACCAAACAACCAGGCAAGAGGACGCAGACAAAGATACATGCGATGGGCACAGACAGACAGAGACAGAGAAGCCACCAGGCCAGGGACTTGAACGAATGCGCACATCACACACACAGACACACCAGCAGCCACCCTGCCCACTACCAACCACAGGACGCCTCATGCAGCCATCTTCATAAACAAAGATGGGTGGCACGGTGCCTTCTCTTACAGGCACACTTGACACCATCCCACTATCCCCGCCCGCTGCTATCATCCATCCATCCATCATATGGTGACTTTGCTCTTGCCGACGTATCTGCCGTCAGGTGTGTAGTGGTCGGTGTCGTGGGCACACGGGCAGCAGAGGAAGCATATTATCCCAGTGAACACGCACAGCAGAACATCCGTCAGGCCGATCACCTGCAGGCACGTGAGCAGAGCACAACGACGTGCCGCGCTGCATCTGTCGATGTCATCTGATGTATGTCATCTCTCTAACCCTTCGTGTAAGTGTCTGCATAACTCTGCCTGTGCTCGGATCGTACACCTGATGGTCAGTCACGACACACACAGACAGAACAAACGCGAACAAAACACATCAGACAGATAACAACACAGCCTCCTTTCGCTCTGAGTGTGTGTTTGTGTGTGTCATCAATTCACCTCACCCATATGGGTGTGGGTGGGAGGTCGCTCAGCACTTGTCCAGGCAGGCACACGCGGGCAGGCACGTTGATTAGCATACCGTTGGCCGCTGTGGTCTGCACCGTCACGGTTGTGCCGCTGATGAGTGGCACCGCCATGCCCGTCATGGGGATGGCGGGGACCGATGTGGGAGGGAAGGGGGTGCCAGACTGGCCAGCAAACTGAGGCTGAGGGGCGTGTGTGTGTTGCGGCTGGGAGGCCGCGTAAGGGGGAGGGGGAGAGGCCGACTGGATGCCGTGAACGGCCTGCTCATGGAGCTGAGGGTAGGATCCTGCCCCGCAGGACATACCGGGGTCCGGCTCGGCGCCTGGCTCACTGAGTCTTGGGTCTCCCGATGGCTGGTTCGGATGTGCCGTCACGCCTAGATGATCAGGCCCAGATCAGGTGCACTGGTGGGCAGACGACAGCCAGAAGGTCTGCAAGGCGGCTGCTGATGTCTTCTCGCGTTGTGGTCCCTCTTCTCTCCCGTTTGTGTCGCACTATTTTACTGTAAAACACTTGTACCGCCCTAAGCAAACCCTATCTGAAGGCAGGTTGACGATAACAAAGGTGAGAAACAGTGTGTGGCTGCCATCTCTGAGTACACGAGAGCAGCCTACGAAGATCAATTTGCCGACGACGGGGAGTCAGTACACGCACTCCTGCCAGCTCCTGGGTACGAGAGAAGGGGAAGTGGCCACACGCAGCCAGTGAGAATAGAAGCAACGACGGCAGATCCACCAGGAGCACCGCATCGTGCCTTCAGCCCGTCACCTGGCTGTCTTGTCCTGCTGCAGGTAGCGGAAGTCGCCTTAGAGAGGGTGTCTCAGACGGTGTGAGCAGTCCCTCGGCTTGGCCGTGATGGATTCTGTTCTGAGGCAGCGGGAGCCGAGCTGTCCGTGTCCGCGGCAGAACCATCGCAACCCATGCTGGCAGCACAACACGCCCTCACTCTTCAAACAGGTCGAGGACTGCCTGCGCATAGAACTGTAAGCACGCCGACCGACCGGCCGGCCCGGCGACGTGGCGAGACGGCCATCATGGCGCGGTGCACATGTCGGTGGCTGTGTCGTGTGTGTGTGGGTGGGTGGTCTGGTGTTGTGATGCGTCTCTTCAGGTTGGATGCGTTGGACCCCCAGTCATGTGCCAATCTTGCTGCGGCGTCTCACTACTTCCCCACACACTTCGTGACGCTGCCGTACCTCTCATACCAAATCAACAAACACTACGGTACGCACCGCAATGCACGCCACGCCCCATGGCCTCATGTGCGCGTGTGCGTGTGTGGTCATCATGTGTGTGCAGGCCCGAGCAGCTCGAGCGTCATCCGTTTTGATCTGAAGGAGCGCGCCAACATCGTCTATGTGGCGCGGAAGCTGGCGGGCCGACCGGGCCTGTGGGACCCGTGGGTGTCCTTCCTCTGCAGCGCCCGCATCATCGACGAGATGGAGACCAAGAACACCACCGCCACAGCACCTGCATCGGGTGGCCAGCCGGTGTTCGTCAAGACGGTGACGGACAGCGACATGGCCAAGATGCGGCAGCAGATGCAGAGGTGGAACAAGGCGGCCAAGAAAAGGGGCGGCGACGCGCGGCAATACGGCCTCGACTGCCCCACCGTCATCGCCCAGTTCTTCCTCATCTGTGGATTCATCAAACCCTCACTTCGTACCTGGCTCATGAAGGTAGGTGGGTGGGCCACACACAGACACGCCATCAAAACCATCCCGGGGCACGGTGCTTGTGTGTGTGTGTGTGTGTGTCAGGATTGCTATCGGTGCATCAACCGTGGCGGCACGTGTGTCAACGGCGAGCCCCGGTTGGCATCGCAGTGCTCACACTACTGGTGTGCCAACTGCGGCATGATCCCACGGTACGCAAACACACACAATCCACCCAACCGCACACAGATCACAGTGCCCGACCGCCCCATATCACTCATTCACATGTCCCTCCCTGCCTTGGCGCATCCATCCCCCCTCCCCGCCGCACAGGTATGACATCCACCGCCGTTTCGTGAAGCGTTGCGGGTTCGCCCTCGACTTCTGCCACAACACACGGGAGCTGCCCTCGGAGCTGCAGAAGTGGCTGGACAGCACCGCCTTCCAGACCACTCACCTCGAGGAGGGCAACGTCAGCTACGAGCTCAGCAACCTCCAGAGGCAGGCCAACGCCCGCGTGGCCGCCGCGGCAGCATGGCCCAGAAACGAGGCCAAGCGGCAGTCGCGGAAGCGCAAGGCGGATGGCGAGGAGAGCCAGGGGGCGGGTGAGGGGGAGGGGGAGGGCGGGGATCGGCCAGACGAGCCGGCGGTGTGGATCACGGGTTCGCTCGTCAAGGACAACGGCATGTTCACCTCACTAGACGTGTATGTGTGGGGAGGGAGGGGGTGGAATGGAAAGATGGACGCATCGTGGATGGCTGGATGGATGGATGGATGTGTGCAGGTATGTGTTGGAGACGACTGACGTCGACAAGTGGAAAGCCGAGCCACAACAGAAAGTCGACGAGCCGGAACTCCCCCTGTAGGCAAACAAGCCACTGACACCACCCTACCTACGACCATCCATCCATCTGAATGGTGTGTGTCGTGTCTGCCTCGCCAGCAACGAGGTGCCCGACATCCCGCCGTCGTCGCACCCGTACCTGTCGAGTTTCAGGACGCGCGAGGCGCGTGAGGTGATAGCGTTCATGACCGGCGTCAAGGGCCGGGTAAGCGCCATCAGCGACGCCGCGCTGTGGTACAACAGAGACACCGACATCAGTGGCTCGGGCACCACCATCACCATCGACGACCAATGACAGACAGGTGCGCATGGATGGGCGGACGGATGGAGACAACACAGAGAGAGCATGTTGGTTGGCATACACCTGTGTATGCCGTTCCTGCAGGTCCATTTGTTGAAGCGACCTAGCTAGCTGCCTAGAAGTCGAGCACCACCACTTGCCCCCTTCCCCTCCCATCAGCGACCCATCCCCTTGCGGCTGCCAACACACACTCACACACACACACGCATCCGTACACGCGTGCCTACATGGTTCGACTCCGGTCGTCTCTCTGTGGTTGAGAGTGACTTGAGTGCCCGTGTGTCAGCTCGGTGGCCTCCCCCACATGCACACCTCCGTGCAGACCTCCCTGCGTCGTTTGGTGTGCGTGAGGGGCGGGCCGGCTGCCTGGCCGACCACGGGTGCTTGGCTTGCATTGCATCTGTCGTGCGAGGTGAGATCCCACAAGACACAGATACCATCCTCCGCGAGAGAGAGGCTCCACTGCAATTTTCGTTCGTGGCCGGTGAGTGAGCTGGCAAGCTGCGGGGGTGCGCTGCATTCGTGAGAGTGTGTGTGTGTGTGTGTGGCGGGCTGGCCGTCTGGTCGTCTGGTGGATTTGCGAAGTCTTTCAAGCGAGCTGCGGGCACCAAGCTAGATGGAGTGAAGTGGATGGCGATTGGTGTTGAGTTGAGTTGAGTGGGTCATGTGTGTGTGTGTTGACGCATGGCATGGATGTGTGGCTGGTTAATGAGTAGGTTGGGGGTGGCTCCTGACTTGACACCGGAGGAGGGAGTCGTTTTTGCACTGACTCACTGCGGACACCAGACGAACGAGAAGAGACAGACAGATGTGTACGTGTGTCGATCTATACACACAATTAAGTCTGTTCTCGCAGTCATTGTCACATCGCACGCATATTAGTGTCACTCACAGTATCACTGTCGCTGTCGCATATCAGTCAGTCGATGTGCGATCCCTCCCTTCGTCCTTCCGTCCGTCTGTCCACTCACTCGCTGCGCGAAAGAGGCCAGACCCCTTGAGCCCCCCATGTCTGTCTGTCTAGTCTATGTGCACCCGCATAAGATAAGACGTACGTCCGTCACGTCACACTCCCAAAGGCAATCACATCGCCCGACAGACAGACAGGCCGACGGACACAGAGACTCCATACGTAGAAAACGATATGTCCCACACACCCATCTGCCTATGTGTGTATGTCGCGTGCTCATGTGACTGACTGACTGACAACATGTGACCGACAAAACCTCTTCCTGTCTGTCTCTGTGTACACACAGACAGACACACAGACATACACTCTCGGCATTGTCGATCGCCCATCTCTCTCTCATATGGCCTGTGCCACTCTCCTCAGCACTCTCGACGCCATCCGCCGCGCGACCGCATCAGCCACACTCACAGCAAAATCCCGCACTTCCGGCTTGGCCAGCAGGGGCAGCGCCGAGGGGCCCAGCCGCCTCAACTCGTCAGGGCTCACACCACCACCCAGCCCGAGTAGAGAAGGAGACAACGATCCCTCTGCGATGCCACTGGTGTCTGCTGACGCCGCTCCAGCAGCTGCACCAGGGTTGGCGGCGAGCGATGCGACGGCGAGTATGCTGTTGATGTAGTCCTGCTCGCCTTCATCCAGCTGCGACACGTATGCCAAGCTCTCGAGGGGGGCGCGGAATAGCCGGGGGGGCCGCAGGAATGGCGGGAGCAGGTCCACCTGCGACAAAACCGCCTGGGCTGCACGCCCGGCTACCTGCACACGCACTCAGAGAGAGAGAATGGATGGATGGAATCACTATGTGGGCGTGTGGGCGGGCTGACCAGGTTTCCGGAGAGGTCAGCGATCTTGGCAATCTCATCCTTCATCAGCCGCCTCAGCCCCTCCCCCTGAGGGCCGAAAAAGAACGTCAGTGCGCCATCCACCGGGGCCTGCTCTTCGGGAATGGCGTCGAAGTCCACGAAGGCGTCCGTGTGGTGCGCCACGTAGCCCTGCGCACTGTTCATGAGGCTGTTGAACCGTCGTGCAGAGAACTCGCCATCCTTGTAGAGGATCTCTGATAGGGCGTCTTTGAGGATGGGCGAGTCGTCACCAGCCGTCAGGACCCGGCGGGACACCCAGGGATAGCTCTCGGCAACAAGCTGGAAGTCGGGGTCGCCAGCCAGTGCCAGACCCTCCAACACGCCCAGTGCTCGGATGATCAGACTGACATACAGACAGGCAAGAAAGGGATGAGGTGCCTGGGGGTCTCAGAGGGGTGAGGGGTGTGTCTGTTTTTTGGTGTCACTCACGCGAAGTAGGGTGGTATCCTCACAGGGATTTGGAAGCTGACGCCAGCCAAGTCGCGCGCCAAAGATTGGAAATTCACCTTCTTGGCGCCGCCACCCTGCCACATGTGCACACACGTGCATTGGCTATAATGCGTGTGGTGGTGTCTCTCTGTCAGTCAGTGATCATGCGCATCTCCCCGCCCACCTGCAGTGCCTCGTTGAGTATCCTGGCTGTGATTGGGACGATGAATGACCGGTCGACGTCCTGCGGCAGGAAATCCAGCTGCACGCTGTCCTCCACTACAGCAGGGTAATTCCTAAGCGAACGCACGAAAACATCCACCACTACACAGCCGATCGACACCTACGGATGTGCTGTGCTGCCTCAACTACTTGTTAGCAAGGTGGATGAGTGTCGCCACTAGCAGGTCTCGCTCCCGGCGGTCAATCTCCGCGACCAGCCCAAAATCCAAAATCGCCAGCCTCCCGTCAGGCGTCTTCATCAGGTTGCCTGTGTGACACGAGAGCGGCAGAGAGACCGACAGACGGCACTCATTCATTCATCCATTGGATACACAGTGTGCGTGTCTGTCAATGAGTGCATTCCCCAACCTGGGTGTGGGTCAGCGTGCATCTTGCCGTGCTCGAGAAGCATCACCAAGTAGGCCTCCAGCCCCATCTTGGTCAAGCTCTTCACCGTCTCAGCGTCAGACGTCTCCAGCTTCTCGCCAACGATCCATTCGGTGGTCAGCACCTTCCGGCTCGTGTACTTGTCATACACCTCTGGCACCACCACATCGGTCACGTTGGCCAGCAGCCCACGGATGGTCCTCTGGTTCATGGCCTCGTTGTTGTAGTCCAGCTCTTTGTAGGTGCCACCCGCCCAGGCATTCAATAGCGCCGCGTAGTCGGTCCGCTGGGCCGTGAACTTCTCCTGGAAGTCCTGCGCAATGTACGCGAATTTGCGCAGCACGTAGAGGTCCAGAGAGATGGTCCGCAGCATGTCTGGACGCTGCACCTTGACAGCCACATCCTGCTTGCTCGACCTCAGCCGGCACTTGTACACCTGCCCGAGAGATGCCGCAGCCACCGTCTCGCTCTGCAGCGTCAGGCCCTCGAAGATCCTGCTGGCGGGCTGCCCCAGCTCTTCTTGGATGGTATCTAGCGCCACAGCGGTTGGGAATGGGGGGACGGCGTCGCACAGCAGCTGGAGCTGGTCCATGATGACCTGGTTAACGACATCGGGGCGGATCGAAAGTGCCTGGCCGAACTTGACGAAGGTCGGGCCAAGCCGGGTCTGCAGCGTTAAGCCAAGGCACAAGACACACGCGGTAAATGTCGATCAAATGATTCATGAGAGCCAGGTTCCGCCCTCCATCCTTACCAGCAGCTCCCTGAACTCCTTCGCCCTCGCTGCCTGCACCTCAGGCAGGAAGATCTTGCCTGTCCTCCTGCAGGCACCAGCACACTCATTCTCGCCCATCGTGTACGTGTGTGACGTTTGTTCTGTTCTGTTGAGCCACTCACTCACCAGTCGAGGAAGAGTGCAGTGAGGAAGGGGAGGCTCTCGTTGAGGACCTCCAGCAGCCTCGTCCTGACCTTTGAGGGCCGCCTGTCCCAGTAGCTATTGATAATGTCCACGTCGTAGGTGAGGGGGAGGCCCTCCTCTGACGAGGCCTCTTCGATCCCCCTGAGGGCGGGGTCGTCCTTGGACAACAGCACGTCCAGCAGCGACCGCCTCACCTGCACACATGGAGATAACAACACAGACAGACAGATAGACACATCAATTAAAGCGCTTGTATGTGTGTGCCTGTGGTTTGTGTGTGTGAACCAGGTGTCACCTGGTTCATGACGGCGAGCTCCGAAGTGGACATGCCCTGCCCTCCACTGGAGGACGCAAGCTGCACGCACACGGCAACAGAAGAAGAATACCAAGCTTGGTACTGTACTGCTGTCCATCCCTCAGCCAGATCTCTTCCTCTCTGTCTGTCGGTGAGTGACTGACCCTGTCATCGAGTTCCCTCAAAGTCTTGTCCTCCAAGACTGAAGGCGTGGCTACAGCTGTCGACATACGCACACCACCACCACCATGGCCGCCCGATCTCCTCCACGCAGGCACAGGTCGCTTCCTCTCCTGCTGCCTGGCGAGGAGCGTCCATGAGTGATGACGGGGGCTGAAAGTGAAGGCGCGGCAGACGAGAGGAGGCAGCAGCAAGACCAGTGCATTCAGCAGCCTCGACGCCATCGGCTGAAGCGTGTAGGCCGGTCGGTCGGTCGCTTATGGGTTTGACGGACCACCTGTCCCTAAGCCCGGTCTCCCCGCCCTTCCCTCCCCTCCCTCGAACAATGGGTCAGGCGCAGTCTGATCCGTCTTGGATCCACAAGACACGCATCAAGGCCGAGTTTGCAGTGCTCGCACAACTGTGTGAGTCCTGGGAGGGCTGACAGCCGGAGGGCTCATACACATGAGGGGCTGCGTGTGTTGTTGATGCAGACACTGAGGATGAGCTGGAGAAGGTCGCCAAGCGGCTCAAAGACGTGGCCCTCAACTTCGCACTCGACAAGTACACACACACACGCATCATGTGCACACACTCTCAACCGACAGTGGATGATGCATGTGATGGTTTGCGTGTGTGCAGGTCCAAGTTCACCAAGATACTGCATTTGCCCGAGGCCCACTTGGAGAGCATCGGCACTTGGTTCGAAGAGTTCTCCAAAGACAGGGCCTCGAAAATGGTCGACGGGCTCGAATTCGTCGCCGGTGGGTGGACAGATGGATGATGAATATCATCGTTGATGGGCATGTTGTGGTGCGTCGATGGCCGTGACTTCTGTGTGCAGCTGTGACGTGTGTGAGCCGCAAAGTGCCTGTTTTTGCTAAGATTCGTCGGCTGTTCCACCTCTTCGATCTTGATGACACCAACTGTATCAGAAAGGTGAGCCAGGGCGGCTGGGGGTGTGCTTATGCCTCTCTCTCTCTCTCTGTCTGTCTGTCTGTCTGTCTTTCGATGTTTTGCGGCAGGATGAGTTCATCATCTTCTTGAAGGCGACGACGACCGGCCTGCATAGGATGGTCCAGGGTCTGCCCCCCTCCCCCCCGGTGCTGCAGTTGGAGACACTTGCCGGCGATTTCTTCGCTGACATACCCGGGGCACTCACGCTGGTCGGTCGAGGCACTTCTCCACTCATGAACTCACTCACATCCATGTGATTGTTTCTGTTAGTCTGATTTCCTTGTATGGTTAACGGAGACCCACGCGTCTCTGCACTTCGTGTCGTGTCTCACTCGTCTGCGTCGGGCCACCTGGGTGTTCGGCCGCAACGAGCGGCTGCAGCTGGGGCTGCACCTCGAGCCACACACACAGCATAGACCCACACCGCTGCTGGGGCTGGAGGGATATACCGTCGCAAAGGTGGTCTCTATGCATTGCCTTGGCTCGCGGGTGTGTATGCAGGTGTGTCTGTCTGTCTGTCTGTGTGCTGTGCGCTTTGGGTTCAGGTTGCGACAAATCAGTCCCACAGTTTGTTCCTCACCGACCAGGGGCGGCTCTTCAGCTGCGGCAGGGGATTCGCCGGCATACTCGGTAAGTCTCCACTTTGTGGGCTGGGTTGAATGAGGCCACCGCACCGTTCATTCATTCATGTCGTGTGTGTTGGATTCATCATCCCCACAGGCACCGGTGATTTGGACGACAGGCCGCAGCCCGTGTTGGTGGAGGCACTCCAGCACGTCAGGCTTGCAGACATTGCAGTCGGGTCAGCAGAGACAAGACACCTACCGCGCTAACCACAGTGCTCTGGTGACGGCTCTCTGTATCATCCATTCATTCATCAGGGTGCGTCATAGCGCGTGTGTGTCGGAGAAGGGCCAGCTGTTCACTTGGGGGGCCGCAGACATGGGCCAGCTGGGCCTCGCCGACGACAAAGGCAGATACCCATCAGACCCGCGCAAATGGGCCTTCGACCCCACCACAGGCGGTACGCACACACAACACAACAAGCACCTGCGGGAAAACACTCTGCCATCTCTCTCTGTGCAGGTCTATATTCTTATGTGGCGACCCCCGCAGTAGTGTCGTCCTTATGGTCATCCCAGGTGAAGGTCCGGCGTGTGGTGTGCAACTCGTTCTCGACGTGTGCGTTGAGCGAGGAGGGCCGGCTGGTGACAGCCGGTGACGCGACGGAGGGTCAGTGCGGCCACGGGCAGATGTACAAGGGGTACAGGATGATGCACCTCGAGCCACACACCGCCAGGACGGCCTCTATGGTGCTGGACCGATTCACAACTATCAGGGGGCCTGAAGTCAAGGACGTAGAGGTAGGTAGCTATGTCACACAAATGAATGAATGAGGGGAAAGGAGACAGACATCTGCAAGACAGAGAGCGTGTGTGTGTGTGTGTGCGTAGTTTGTTGACGTGTCTGGTGGTGGTGCCCACACGTTGGCTCTCGACTCACACGGCTCCGTGTGGGCGTGGGGGTCTGGCCAGTGGGGCAGACTGGTGAGCACACACATCACATCCGCCATGCCATACACATCACATGTGACTTCACGAATCGATGTGTCTGTGTTGTGTTGTGCGTGCATGGTTTAGGGCCACGGCGACTCGCGCACGTGCTTCGAGCCTCGGTGTGTGTCGGTTCTCAAGGCCCACAAGTGCGTGCAGGTGTCGGCGGGCTTCATGCACTCGGCATGCGTCGCATCCATATTCAGAATCACAATCACTGGTCCGCATGCGAATGCTCTTATAGCGCCATTGGGCCCTTATAGCGCCATTGGGCCCTTATAGCGCCATTGGAGGGATGGGCGGATGTGCATCCTTGTATGCAGGTGCGGCAGGTGAGAGTGGGTTGTCGGCCTTCTCTATCCTGGGCCTGCCTGTGGGGCCGCTGGATGTGTGGCTTGAGAAGCAGCAGCCACTCACACCACCCAACACCAACATCGAGGTACACCTCGCACACGGCGGCTGGAGGTAGTATGGCATCCAGGTGTGTACGTGTGTATGTGCGTATGTGTGTATGCTCCAGCTGAATGCGTTTCTGTCCGCCCCGCTGCTGGTGGTTGACCTGCCGCTCAAAGACACCACCGACGACCAATTCATCAATAACGAGGTGAGCGAAGAGGGAGACAGAGAGCGAGAGACAGACAGAAAAAGCATGGATCATATTTGCCTTTATGCAGTTGTATCCCGCCTCGGCTATCAAGGAGTCGGTTCTGTTGGTCGACCGCTCACTCTGGGAAGGTAACATCCCTATTGCACACAGATATGAGTGAGCCGAAGGAGTGCAGGTCAGTGGCTGAAGCTGACGACGAGCGACTATGACGTCAAGCTCACCATGGCTGATAACACAGCCGAGATACCGCCGAAAACTGGGGTCAACAGGCGGCAGGGAGGGAGAGAAAATGCCTCACACGAGTGCGGCCGGCCATGTGTGTGTGTGTCAGTTGGGCGGCAAGTTGATGATGCCGATCGCCGACGACAAAGGCAAGTGGGAGAAGGAAGACTGCAGCGGCCGCATCTGCATATTCGAGATGCAACACACAACCGGCACTGAACGAGACGCAGACAAACTCAGCGAGGCATTGTCAACGAGGCAAGCAACCAACAAACAAAGCAAAGGCACACCCACCTTCGATTGAGTGTCTGTCTGTCTGTCTGTGTAGGGCCGTAGAGGTTGCTGCTGCCGGTGCGATGGCCTGTCTATTTGTGTGTCCCGAGAAGATGGAGCCCTTCACCATCACACCGCCTGAAGACAAACACGCCGATCTGGCAAAGTCGGTACTCGCCCACACACTGAGAGACGACACACGCGGCGAGCATTGAATGCACGATTGGCCATGATGCAGCCTGCCCGTGGCCACGATGTCTCACGAGCACGGCTCGTTCCTTAAGGACCACCTGCTCAAACTCACAGCCGACAAGGCCAAACAGAGTCCTGGAGGCGTCCCAGAAGAGGCAAAGGTCCTCTCGCCACCCTGGCTGCCATCCATCCATCCAGTGCATGTGTGTGTGCGTAGGACTGGGTGGAGTCTCGTGAAGAGTTCACAGGCCGCGTATACTACCACAACACCATCACGGGCGCCAACCGGTGGGCGCCGCCCTATGTCGACAGCGGCACCGACGGGCTGCTGGTGTCCGTCAAGGTCGACACCTTCTTCGAACGACTGCAGAAAGTGCTCAAGACTGAACCTAAGGTCACAATAAGAGACAAGCAGGCATGACGAGACACGCTTATGGATACCACCTGTGTGCTGCATGTCGGGGTGTATGGTTAGGGCGTCATCGTTGCGCATCAGTCGTGGCGGCCTGACGTGGCTCTGCAGGACCCGCCGGCCAACGGTTTCGACGAGTCCCTGCTGTCTCGCGTTCCCACACTGCAGATCACATACGAGGTCAGTCAGCAAATGACTGACATACAAACACCTACACCAGACTACACCACACACATGGAGCCATGGCTCCCTCCCTCCGTCCCTCTTTGTCGTCAGGCTGGTCAAGAGCTGAAGGCAGTGTCAGGTCGTGGGTGCGAGCCGATAGCGTCGATGGAGGTGCAGCCCTTCGGCGGTGTGTATGCGTGGGGTATGGGCACCCAGGGGCAGCTGGCACTGTCCGAGGTCGAGAGGGACCGCAGCATGAGGACGCACGAGAACGCATTCACGGGGGAGAAAAACTCCTTCTGCCACTCACCCTGCTACGTCTCCAACCTGCACGAACAGGTCTGACAGCCAACAAAACAGACAGATAGATAAACTCGCATATCGACGTGTGTGTCTCCGTGTGAGTTGGCTGCAGCAAGTGGTGCAGATCCAGTGCGGTGGGACTCACACGGCCACGGTGACGCAGGGCGGGGAGGTCTTCTCCTGGGGCAGGGGAGACGCGTGTGGGGCCATGCTCGGGTCAGTGAGCAGGGCAGCGAGAATTACATCAAGAGTGAATGTCAGCTGGATGTGTGCGTGTGTGTGGGTGTGTCGATTCAGAGATTTGGCGGCCATGCAGACCGACGGCTTTGGCAACAAGGTGACGGACGGAGACACGCACATCCACAGGTGTCTGTCCATTTACCTATGTTTGTGTGCGTGTGTGTGTGTGTGTGTGCCTGTGTGCATCAGATCGGGTGTGTGGACGTGCCGATAGTTGTTGATCAGCTGGAGAACATCGCCAAGGCACGCAGAATATTCTGCGGCGACAACCAAACATTCATCATTGCGGGTCGGTCAGCCAGCCAAAGGGGAAGCGTATATATGAGCGCATGTGACGTGTCTGTCTGTATCTCTGGGTGTGTGTGCGCATGCGGTCAGATATGCCCCACCCTCCCTTTTCGACACCCTCCTAATCGGCTCACAAAGAGGGAGGGAGGGATGGACTGGACGTTGGTGCATACGTGTCTTTTCTGTCACTGTAGTGTATGCGATCCATCCCATCCATCTGTTTGTGAAGGATACCTTCATCACGCCACGCCCACACCAAATTGGCCCACACATGCATTAGTATAGAGGATCTTCATCAGCCGGACAATATGGGAAGACCTTTCTCCGCATGGCTCCGTGACGTCACCAGCATGGGGGATCCGCTGCAACGAAATAACGGCCCCGGTAAATGGAGTAACTTACACTGTACGGAAAACTCGGTCAACTTTTTTTAACTTGCGCTGTTGATGGGTCCTTGGCTTATCCTCTTGACCCTCATCCCCATCGCATCCTGCTGTACCCCATTCCCTGACGCTGAGGTCCCCGACGGCCTGGAGGTATGCCTGTACGCGAATAACCTCTCCTTCCCACCTTGACGTGCATGGAACGACTCTGTGACTGGGTGTGTGGATTCATCGATACATTCATGCGATCAATGCACATGACTGAGTGTACGTGCGATCATACACATGGTGCACTTCGAGTCTTTACACAAACTGACAGCCGCGTGTATCACAGGCCTCCCTTCTCTTCCGTGGCTGCCGACGTGGCCGGGATGAGCAGATCTGTCGTGCGGCAGGGACAGCGACGGACATGCACGGGTGCATGTGTTGTGTTTCTCTGCATGTGCGCGTACCCGGCTGGTGATTCTTCAACTGGCGGAGGATGGCCCTCACCTCTGCCTGCTTCTCTGCGTATGTCCTGGTGGTGTAGTTGGCGATCCTCTTCGCAGCCCTGAGATGGCCAAACCTGTCGCGACGGTGAACGTTGATGTCGAGGAGGGCGGTCACCCATCCCACACAAACACCCTCCCGTAACAAATATCACAGTGCCGACCACTGGCGTGTCTCGGCTCTGTGTGTCTCTTTTGCCGCCGCATACCGAAACTTCCATCGCACGGGCGAGTTTGGTGAGGTTGAACTGCACGTTGCCCTCGGTGCGACCGAGGCTGGGCGATACACCATGATACATCACCCCGCCGGCCCGCTCAGCCGCGTCGATCCTCGCCAGTTCCTGCGCCTCGCCCTTGGTCTCCACCTGAGCAACACACCCACACTGACTGTTGGTTTTGCTTTGTCTGTGGCCTCTTGTCTTGCTTGCCAGGGGGTGGATGAAACGCAACTGGACCAACTCGGCCACCCGGGCCTTCATGACGTCGAGACACGCTGGGCCGTGCTCTGACATGAACGGCTGACCATGAGGCACCGGCACTCCACACGCCAAGTAAGGCTTACCAAGGACGGTCGAGTATATCTGCACTTGACTGTCCTTCCGGATGCCGTTCTTGGCGGACATGCCGGGCAGGCGGACGCCGGTTGCGATACGATGGCGAACAGTGGCGAACGACACACGCTGCATGACACACAGAGGATGGAATGTTTCCCCTTCATGTTGTGTGTGCCCACTGGTCTGTCTGTTCACCTGTTTTTTTTCGTCGAAGGTATAGCCCACCGTGTCCTTGCACTCCCTGGCGAGCTCGGGATGTGTTGCGGCGGTCACACGATCGCGGACTGGCCGACCTCCCAACGCCTGGGCAACACCATAAATGCAGCCATGTGTGTGTGGTGTGGCTGGGACCGGTCGGTGGTTCACCTCGCGTAGGCTTTTGTCGTCGTGGTCAGGTGAGATTGAGTTGATCCGATCCACGTCGACCAGCCGCCAGAGGGCCCCCCTTCTGCCACACCTCGCCCGCGTCTGGGGGAGGCGACGGGCGTACTCGGGGTTGGCCACCATCTTCTTCCACTGTCCAACACTGCCCGGCAGCTCAGCACCAGCTACATCCACACACAGACACACAACCGTAAGCACAAAAACACACACACGGGCATGGCACACAGATTCGCGTGCAAGGTGAGGTGCGAGGTATCACGTGCTGGACGTACGGAGACACACGACTACGTTTCCTTCTTTGGGGATGTACTTGCCGGCAAACGGACCCTCCTTGATGAGACGCCCAACTGTTCACAAGTACATATCGGGCATCCATGCGACGTGGCGTACGTTCCTGCGTGTCCCCCCTCGCACCCACCGCTCGTCAGAGGAGATTGACATAGATCGCTGACACGGCAGAAAGAGGACAGGATTCGATTCATTTCTCGACCCATCTCACCTCACCCGTCAGCGTGGGCATGGTGAGATCGTATTCGCCCTGCAGGACCTCGTCGACACGTGTCTGCATACGGGGGTGGTCGTTGACGGTGATCGCTATGTGAAAGGCGGGGTTGTCCTCTGGCTTGCCCCTCTCCACCCAGTCGCCCATCGCAGCCAGCAAAGACGTGGCCCTCAATGAATCGACCCAATCGTCATCATGCAACTCTGACACACACACACACACACACACACAGAGAGAGAAAACAAAACACATACATACGTCATATTGGCCGGCTGTTGCGTTTGCTGACTGTTCATCTCCTCATAGTTGACGGCGTTGGCGAGTCGACGGGTCTTGTTGAAGTAGCTCCTCAGCCTGCAGACACAAATATGTCCTGGTGATGTACCCACTCGTGTCTTCCTTGTTGGTCAGCTTGACGTACCGGACGAACGCGGCCTGGGTGAACGGGACCGATATCCCAGCATTGAGGCACATGTGGCCCAACACGTACAGCAGGTTGATGTGTTTGTCATAGTTGACACCGCAGCCGCCAGCAGTCCTGCACGCAACGTCGCAACCACACCGCGAGACGCACTGTGATGTGTGTTGTGCCTGGGTGTCCGTGCGGCCCACTTGATGAGATCGCGTTGTGAATGATCGTCGACCGGCTCGCTGAAGAGGGCCTCGGCCTCATCCTCGTTGTCGCAGAACCACTCACACCCAGTCACAACACGCTTGAAGAACAGCTCGAATCTGTGTGGTGACACACAGTACCTCTCTGTCGCTGATGTGTGTGTGTGTGCTGTCGTCGTGTGTAGACCTGTCAGTTGGGCAGAAGACAACTTTGTGTGTCTCTGTTGAGCCAACGCGGTGGATGATGGTGACGAGGCCCTTCTGGTACTTCTTGAAGGAGCTCAGGGTCTTGTTGCGTGGGACTTTGATGGAGGTGCACCCCCAGGGGCGAGAACCCTCATCGAGGTCGTAGTCCTCAACCATCGACACGCCAGCCAACATCGCCTGCCACCAGGACGGCAGGGGGGCCGATGTGCCGTCCTCGAGTGGGATCTAGCAACACACACACACACACGCACACAAACAGCACAACGTCTCAGGTGAATGAGTGTGTGTGTGTGTGTGCGTTGGGGAGGTGGGGGTCATGTGTCACCATCGTGGGCGTGTCGCCAGAGGCGTCGTCGTTGAGGCCCTTCTTGAGTGTGGCATCGGCCGCATCAGACACCGACGGCACACCGGCAGCAACACCAGCGACGGAGGTAGTCTACACACACAACACACAGCCACACAAACAAACAGAGATGGATGAGGCGCGCGTCACGGGGCAGAGAAGGAGGGAAGAGCAATGGTGAGGGGAGGGGGCACACACCTTCTTGAGTTTAGGAGGCCGGGCGGCTGATTTGGCGGCAACCTGCGAATGGCGACGTTTGCGACTGGAACGGACCCTCACACTCTGCGATACACACACACAAACAGAGACCGAGAGTGTTGGTCGGGGCGAGTGTGGGTTGATGGGCACCCCCACCCACAGACCACATCCTCCGGCCAAGGCCCCCTTAGGCGACGTCGATGGGGTGCAGGGGGTGGGGGTGTGGGGGTGGGGTGTACGACCTCCTCTGCGACTTTGCGGTTGTTTCTGGTCCTCTTCTTCACCACACTCGGCTCCACACTCACACGGTCATTGGCCACCATGGCCTCGTCCTGACACATAGCGGACCGCAGCACATCCACACACACATCCACACACACACACACGGCATGGTGTAGAGGGCAGGGGGTGGGGGTGTGGGGGTGGGGTGACTGACCTCCTCTGCGACTTTGCGGCGATTCTGGCGTGCCTTCTCAATCACACGGGCCAACGTAGACGCATCACCGGCCGTCTTGTGTGGGTGCGCCCGACACATACCCAACTGAAGCGCACAGCAGCACATCCACAGTGGCGTCATATGGGCCTGCACTCGACACCCTCCCTTTCCGTGTTTTCTTTTTGCCTCCCAACCCACTGACCATCTCCTTGACGGTCTGTGTGGCAGCCTGTGTCTGCTTGAGAGCGGTGTCAGGGCGGGAAAAGGGCTGCGGCATGTTGAGATGACAGTAAACCACCCTCTTCAGAGTGGCAGTGTCCTCCTCATCGAGCTCATCACCGATGCCCGTGATGGCGGACTGCTCAAACCCACCGAAATACTCGTCCTCAGGGCTGCACGCATGGAAACGGGAGAACACGTGTGATTCGTGGATGGATGGATGAATCTGCGCATACTTCCATGTGGCGACATCCGTCAGGTCGTCAGGGCAGCCTGATGTTTCGTGGATGTGGCTGGTATAGCCGTCGTCGTGGCGAATGGCGAAGACCACCTTGACAGAATGGCCGGTCTGGACAGCGAGGAGATGGCCTTTAGTGACATCGCCGCTGTTCGCAAACGATGCAAAGGTAACGTGCCACCCACGAACAAGGGAGGTCATGGCGGCCTTTGTGTGAATTTACCAACTGGAATTTACAGCTGGCGGGAGACTCCGTGGTCATCCATCGGTGGCAAGAGAGAGGGGCATCTTTATCAGTCATGATACCAACGGGACGCTTCTGGTCGTCGACCGCATTATCGATGACAAAGCCGCGCGAATCCTCGCCTTATGGGATGACAATGGCGACGCTGTGGCCGAGCAGTCCGTTCTTTGGGAAGGCGATATCATGCTGACCCACGGGATCGGCGTCACCGGGGACTACCTCTTCGCTTCCAGCGAAGACGTGCTCTACCGGTGGCCATACAGCGAGGGGCAGAGGGACCCCCTCGACGACGAGAGGCGTCAAGTGGTGGTAAGGGCACTGAAAGGGGGCGATGGGCCTATCATTAGGTCGTCTTTCCCTGTATGTCCTCACAGATCTACGGCATGAATGAGCTCGATTTTGATCCCCACGAGATAGTGAATCACAACCATCGCTCGCGCCCATTCGAATTCGACCTCGACGGCAACATATACGTCGCATTAGGCTCCTACGGCAACATTGACCCGACCCCTTTCCGCTCTCGGATTCGTCGCTTCCCGGCGGATTTGGTCGTGGCAGCGCAACTGCCGCCCAACGGCACGTCTTGTGCTGAAGGGGAGGTCTTCGCTGATGGGCTGCGCAACTCTGTGGGCCTTGGCTGGGACTTTGAAGGCGTCCTGTGGGGCGTCATCAGTGGCGAGAATGACCTTTTCAGAGAGGATTTGGGTGGTGATATTGCTATCGGTAATCCGGCTGAAGAGCTCAATAGATATCAGCCCGAGAATGCCGGGCAGTTCTATGGCTATCCGTACTGCTGGTGAGCGTACTTTGAAGACAGGAAGCAATCGACGGATTTCTCACATTGTGACGAGGTTTCTCGTTGCTCAGGACGGAAGGTCAGCTAGAACTGGGCAGGGCAACGGTACGCAATGGAGTCATCCACGCCTCTTCCCTGACTACAACGATGAATGGTGTCGAAATGAGACGAACAACATCCCACCCGTCGCGATCCTTGAGGCGCATACTACGCCTCTCGACCTCGAGTTTTACGGCGTGCGCTTTCCAAAGAGCATCTGCGGCAGCATGATAGGCGCCGAGATCGACCGCACCGGGTAGGGGGACGCCACGAGGAGGCGATGGACCAATCCCTTCGGGGCTCCCGTGCTCCTACTACGGCAACTTATTCGTCATTCCGAGTAAGGGGCACCCACTGTGTGGGCACCCCGGGCCGCGAATTTGGCGGGGGTCGAAAGCAGCGTGCGAAGTGGCGGTCAATTATGCGTCACAGAGACGTGCACAGCAAAAGTGGTGGCGAGAAGCACACCGACGCATGCAACAATAGCGAGAGTGTCAAAAACATGCAGACAACAACGGCGGGAGCTTGAAAAACATGCAGATCTCGAAGACAGACGTGGCGATAACACGCAGGTACTGAGAGGGCTGCAGTAAGAACGCAAGACACGCCCTTGTTGAAGACGTGCTTCGCAAAGTATATCAATGCATCGCTGGATGCAATTGGATGTGCCTGTTGAAGGGGATATCGAAGACTGCCCTCGATGACGGTCAATCGGCTTGTCGATCAAATGGGACCCCAGGATCAGCCCAACGATGACCTGCACCAGCAACGCAACAAGGTAAATGAAATCGGCCACAGCGCGCCACGTCAGATGAAGCAAGCCTCCTGAGTAGCTTCTCTTCGAGTCGAATCTCTTCACACACGGTGGTCACTCGACGGATGTGCCAGCCTCACACGATTGCCCACTGGTCCTGGCGCAGCCGGCGTCCGCATTCAAGCCACCTGAGACGAGCGACGACAGGACCTTCTCTGTTCACTGGGCGAGCCGTTACCGATTGAACGAAGAGCAGATGCGGGCGTTCCGAATCATCTGCAGCCACTTGCTGAACCACTACAAAGACATGCGGGACAACAAATACGTCGCGCCATTGCGCATCTGCCGGACCGGCGAGGGCGGCACCGGCAAAACACACGTCATCAAAGCTGTGAAGGCTTGTTCTGCTGAACTGCAA